ACAAAGATTGTTATCTCGTGTTATCTGGATTACGGTACTCAGTTACATGTAATACGTTACTCCCCAAGTCTGGAAATAATTATACATTATACAGTAACAAATACTAAATATGATGTTAGCTGATGATTTAACGTATTGTCCTAACAGTTACTAAATGTCCTGCACCAACAGTAAATCCCCTAAAAAAGTGTTGACCACTGATAGTTCACAACAGAGCAGAAATCCAGTGGGCATGTAAAGCGGATCTTGTAGTCTTCACAGCGTTTTCCACCGGGCTGCTCAGCATTCACACAGTAAAAGCCACGAGTAGCGTCATATCTGCAACATATATAATAAGCAAACTATTAAAGGGGCACTCCACTAATTTTTTACACATGAATGTAAATTCACTTGCCATAAGTAGATAACATCTCAGTCTAAAAATCCATGGGTGGAGCACATATTTAAAAGAATAGTTTGACATTTTGGGAAATACAACGGACATACTACATGTCTATACAGTCAAGCTTAGCTTAGCATAAAGACTGGGACAAACAGCTAGCCTCTGACAAAAGCTAAACTGGATTTATATATTAACACTCAGTCTTGTTGCCTGTCCTATAACTTACACTTGAAAGACATCACCAGTCTTGTGTGCAGGGACGCCAGACACAGTCACGGCTTCAATGGCCACAGGCTGGGAGCAGACCTGACTGGGATACATCAGCTGCACCCGGAGGAGGGTCTCATAGTCCCCCTGCCCTGTCGGATTGTCCATGTTGAACCAGCGTGTCCTACAACCTGCCAGTGAAAAGCATTAAACAAAATAGGCATATGAAGACATTGACATCAGATTCATTCATTTGTTTTTGTTTTTATCATTTTATACATCTATAAGGCTCATATGTTTGTTAAGATCTTGCTGTAATCCGCATTTTTCTTTTATGTTTTCTCAAAAATCAACACCTTTATAAAATAAAAACAAGCGAGTTGTAGCAAAATGAATCCTACCTGTATAAAAACTTACCCTGACAGAAATCTGAGGGACAGGTCAGTATCACTTGATAATCCTCACATTGTTGACTCCTCTGTTCTTTATTGATGCATGCAAAGCCAAAAGTAACATCATAGCTGGAATATAATAAAAAGCAGAATAAAGCACTTATTATGAAAGGTTGAATGAATAAAAGCCACATCGTACCTCTATATCTGATAACAAATTCACATGCTTACGACAGGTAGGTGTCTCCAGTGTGTAGGGCAGATAGTCCACTTGCTGTCTTGGCCTCAATGCTGATCGGATTTCTACAGACTTGACCCGGGAAAGTTGTCAGTAACTGAAGTATGGACTCCACATCACCCTCCTCTGACGGGTTGTCACTGTTCAGCCACTGAGTTCGACACTGCTCTGACACTGAGTGGAAATTACACATTAGTACATTTTTGCTAAAACTGGATTTCAGCAAAAACAAGAATGTTTTTTGACTGTATGAAAATTATTGGTAGGGAGGGTATTGTTTTTGTTTAACTTTTTTGAGTGGGACATTTTTACTTTCTTATTTAAATTTTATTTTAGCCTTGGACTAGTATGTTATTACATTCCGGTGGTAGAAGAAGTACTGAGATCTTTTACTTACTTTACTACTTCAGTAGAAGTATAAAAGTATTAGCATCACAATATACTTAAAGCACCAAAAGTAAAAGTACTCATTATGCAGAATATATAATATTTATAATAAATATTTTTGGATTATAAAGGATAAGACCTACAAAGTACCTTCACAGAACTCTTTTGGACAGGTAAATCTGACTCTGTAATCTTCACAAGTCCTGCTTCCCTGATCTGCATTTACACAGGCAAACCCATAGGTGGCATCATAACTGCAACAGAAAGGAGAAGAAGGTGATGAGTGAAGTCGCTCGCGCCTCCCACTAATTCCATTTGTTTTAATTTTTGACTGATGTTGTCACTCACTTTAGAAAAGTATCGGAGGTGTTGGAGGCAGGCTCCCCTAAGAGGGTCTGGACCTCAATGGCTATTGGCTCAGGGCAGATTTCTCTCGGGTATATGTTTAGGAAGTCACTGAGGACCTCATAGTCTCCATTTCCTGTTGGGTCATCATGATCAAACCAGCGCGTCCTACACTCTATAAATGAAGAGGAATCAAAGAAACCTGATTTGCCTGCATGTTAATATGTATTGTTAATAAAAAGAGAGCTCAGCCCTACATATTACTCCTTGAAATAATATTGTATAATTTTTTGTTGTACCACATACCTGAGCAGAACTGTCCCGTGCAGGTGAACTTGACCTGATAATCGTCACACTGTCTCCATTTCTGTTCTGAGTTAAGGCACAAAAGGCCCTCTGCACTGTAACTGCAAAATACAATCATTCCATCCTAATATTACACTTGGCTTGAGATCATTTTCGAAAGTAATTCATGTTAGTGTGTATTGATTCCCTTGGAGTGGCAACACTGAAACTTAATGGTGGGCCGCAGGTCAAAAGTAAACACCTACTGTATTGTATTGTTAAGATGCAAAATGACACTACTATCCAAAGTTCCTGTAATTTTCGAACTTCGCAAAAACACAACAGCTATTGATATTTAAAAATGTAAAAATTGCTAGAAACATCTGCATCATCTAACCTTATGGCTTTTTGGCCTACAGGCCCCACTTTTGCCAGCCCTGCTCAAAAATGTAAAATTTTTTATGAACCTAAACAAGCAAAATATTTGCACCTAATTTTGTCCTTGTCGAGTTGTTTAGGAATATACTAATATCACCCAATATCTTAACAACAGTACAACATTGTTGTGAAGACAAGCACCAACTCGAATTGTGTATTAGGAACATACAAGTGTAAATATCTGAGAGACAAATATAGTCTAGTTATTTTAAAAATACATTAAAAGCACGTCTGTAAATTAGAGTTTTAGTTCTAAAACATGATTAAATGTTTTGTTCTATATTAATAAAAAGAGGAAAAGAAAGAGTTCCTGACTCTGACTTTTGCACCACATCATAAATCCTCATTAACATCTCCCTGACATCAAATCAGTAGTGGAAACATTAAGACTTTACATGTGGAAGGTGTTCCTGGTGTACTGCGACTTGACTCCAGCAACCGTCTGAGCCTCCATGTCCACTGGGTTGGAGCAGATTTTCGTCCAGTGCTTCCTTCTCAAGTCACTCAAGAGCTCTGAGTCCCCATATGTGGAAGGATCCCCTTCATCAAACCAGGCTGTCTTACAAGCTGCGAGAGGAAAAGGTTAGATTTCGACAATCTGCTGGGCATTAATGCTTAATTTCTCAATTGATTCAGGCAAACAATAATACAGGGCTTACTTTCCAGCGCAGCGGCAAAAATCTGAAGGTCTGAGGGAAGAAGATCAGTCTTTGATCAGTTATACATTTAGTTTTTTTTCTGATAAATTATTGTGTGCATGGCAAGAAGAAATTAATTACCTGATACTAGAAGACACCAAATTACAAAGCTCTAAAATAAAGTTCAAAGAGAAGACAAATAAATCACTATTATGAAATACCTTAGTGAAACTTTAATCAGTTGGAAATAAAGTCAGAGTACCTGAAAGATCGACATGGTTTTCTCTCTAGTGATCTTAAGGAGAGAAAATATTTTTTTTAAATCCAGTGAAGTAAAAATAAAATGTCCTTTGGATGTTACTCAGAGTTGGTCTCATGTGAAGAAGAATCTGTTAACATTCAGCAGCCTGTTGTATGTCAATCTCTCTGTATTCCTGCTCCTCCCACAGAGGTTGAGCCTAATATTATTTTTCAGTAACAAGTAACCCTCTATGTTATGTGTTGTTGTGTGGCTTATCAGTGTATTGTTAGTGTTGTATAATGTCATTTTCTTCCATAATGGAATTTCTGTTTAAATGCAAAATGATTGTTGATTTTATTCATAGAAATGGTGGCATTGTGTCTCTGCCTCCTAAATGCATCAAAAATTGTATATCTTAACAAAAACATATCTTGCCTTTAAATATCTCTATCACCAGGATACCAAAGTAAATAAAAACCTACAGCATGTCCTATAAACTTTATTTTACACAACATCTCATTCTTTGCTATTATACATAAAAGCATCTGTTTATTTATTCATTAATAATATAATTCTTGGTTTTTGAGCAAATCAATGTGACTTTGTTTTACTAGGTGAACGGATAGGTTCACATTTGTTCATTTCTGTCTTTAGACAATATATTTAGTTACTCTCTTTTTTCATGAAGCTTCTGACTTGTTCCCGATGCTGAGCGATTGCAACCATGTTTGCAAATATAAGTATCTGTTAGGCCACCTAATGGATTCAGTACTGTGTGTGCTGAAGGGATTAATATGGAACCTATGAAGTGAAATGATAATGATTTTAACTTTAATGTTTCCGTTGTCTGATAGCAAACTTGAAGACTTGTGTCTCCCTGCCATAAGGTCAGAGAGTCACCGCCCAGAGTGTGTCTTTCTTATGCTTTAGGCAGGTAAACTGTACCTGTACAGTGCGGATGAAAGCTAATCTGTTGAATGTGACTATTGAGTTTCCATAGACAACAACTCAGGGGTTGACCAAATAACCCCAGGCCCTGCTGTTAAATGTCAGTGAAAGAAAAGTATAAAGTAGCCAGGATTGGTGTAGAATAACTGTTATCTGCATGACGCAGCACATCCAGAGGCAAGAAAATTATTATTTCATTAAGTGACCACAGGATTTCATTGTGATGTGATAAAAGGTCTAATGGAATTTCTTGGATCCCTGCATCAATCCCTGCTGCCCATAATCAGTTTGTAGGCTACTTCTCAACATTTTCTGCCTCATACCTTCCAAGATTTATCAATAAAATCAAGATTAGCTGTTTCTGTGTAGGTTAACACCATGTACATAAAAGGTCAGATTCAGTTCTGCCCAAATGCTATTTAGTCTAAGCCTTTCCACCCCAAACCACACTACTGTAAACTTGAACATGTACATCTATAAGAGAGTATGTAAACCATATGCTGGAGTACTACCTCAAACTCAAAGAAGCCAATATGTTTGAAAAAAAGTATTTAATAGGACACTTTATCAAAAGAGTAAACACAACCATATGCCAAGTATAGTTAACCTTTCTCCTATAAGGCAAGAATACTGATACTTTCCATGTCTCGATGAAAAGATTAAGTACAAGTACAGTATACGCCAAACATACTTCTTGTATAGTTGTCAGTATAAGCCAAGTGTACTAATTTTATTGAAAGTAAACTGAAAGCATACTCTTCTTATTTTTTAGCTTTCCAGCATTTTATCTGTATCTAATAATGTCTTAAAAGTGAATAATTTATTTTGTAATGTAATCATCAAGAAATGTGTTAAATGAGTCAGACTAATTGTGTACACACTGTGTGAGAGTGATGATTTATCATTTCTAATTAAGCAAATGAGAAAGAAACTACACGCGTAAGAAGGCCTCACCTTTTTGAAGGCTAGCAGATGCGTGAGGCATGTACAATATCTGGGGTTCATTGTTTATAACACAAGTAGCCCTCTCTTACATGACGAACATAATGAGCGCGAAAGCTGAGCCGCTCCAAACCCACCTTTGTCTTGTCATCCTCTAAAAGATGATTAGTCCTCACGTTTCTGTAGGTCCAGGTAACCCTTTGCGGCCCTGAAGGGGTCCCTCTCTTCAGGTTACATAACTGCCCCCCTTGCGACTGACATTGTTCCATTTGCTTCAGGATGTCAACAGTAGTTCATGAATTGTTTGACTCTATTCTACATAATGTTTGCACTGTATTACGAGCAGCTGCAGACAACTATATTTCTAAAACCTTTGAAGAGTGACATGAATCACTTGTACAATATGTCCATAATGTATATTGATGTAGGACACTGTTATGACATTGTATTTTATGTGTCTATGCATTACCCAGGTCATTTTTCTTTTCTTAAACTTTTTTTAGGCTTTCTGCCTTTATTGAGTAGGACAGCTGAAGATCAACGGGAAAGGGTGAGAGAGGAAATGACACGCAACAAAGGGCCACAGGTCAGATTTGAACCCAGAGCTGCTGTAGCAATGGTACATAGGGCACAACCAGATGAGGTATCAAGGCGCCCCTTGCCAAGGAATTTTAATAAAGTACAATAGACTATGTAAGAAGAGAGTACTGTACCCATGGGACAGGTGTATTTTAGAAACCTGATTTTGGTGTAACCTTAACAAGAGAACATTAGGTCTTGACTTTCTTAATAGGCGGTGTAATCTGCCTCTGTTCAGGGACCCAGTTTAAGGCTTACCTGTACAATGGATTATTTTGGAACAATGAAGTGATTGGGTGCAAAAATACTCCACCTAAAGAGAAACCTCCCAGAACAGAGCAAACCACAGCAACACAGAGGTAATAAAAAGAAAACTCACAAGATTACAAATAGCACATGAATTTTGTTTTTAATTAAGAAACACCAAGGGCAAGGGGAGCGTCTTTCCAACACTGGAAATGGATGTCAAGTCGCCCTGACGGGGACAATAATCCATCTGGTACAATTTCATTCATTTAACCGAGTTATCTGCTTTTTTCTGCCATTCAGAAGTGAAACAGTAAAATGTTTAAAACATTTGAAAATAAAAATTTCCATCATTACTAAAAAGTGCAGCTTTAATATTTTGCAATTGCCTAAAAAAAACAAAAAGCAGTTTCTTGACGACTTTGCATTGGGCGTGAGTGTACAGTGTATATATGGAAATCCAGTTTAAGAGCAGAACGTCATTCTCTGCTTCAGTGTCCTAAACCTGGACCACAGCAGTGGCTCTTTTCAGTCCACATGTTCATATTTGAACAAACATGATGACACCTTTCTGCGTACATAAATAATTTATTTGTTGCATTTGGAGTCTAAGACTTTTTTCATCAAGTGAATAATAAGACCAGTTTCCAACCATTTGACCAGGCAGTTGCAGTCAGGTACTTAACCTTTCATGGAACTACAATGGGAATTTCTGAAGAACTTACCGGGGTGCCGTATTCAAACTCAAACAAGAGGGGAAAAACGAGGGGATGTGGGAGGCAATACACAATAACCAGAGGAAAGAAAATAGCAAGCTTCTGTGATTGCTCTAAAACAGCAGAATCAAGCCTTAAAACAAAAGCGATGGAAAAGAGGAAAAGAAAAACAAAAAACATAAAATAAATAAAAATGAAGCAACTCTAAGAGAAAGGATAGTGCTCATTTTTAGGATATTAATACAAATATTTTAAGCTTACAAAAATGAGAAAAAGGTTTGTGAACCCCAAAGTGATCGTGCCGTTGTGATTTTGTGGTGTGGTTGACTAAAGGTGGGCGAGCATGCTTTATTAGAGCTACACTACTGGTCACAGCACCTGCAGGAGGTTTCCACTGCATTCCCACATGACCAAACACTATCCCAACTGTGTCCTACTGCTGTTTGATGAATCTCCCTCTGCAGAGAAAACAACCCACAGAACCACAGAGCCTTCAGAGTTTTATAGCTTACTGAATTGTCGCTAAAGCTACCAAACCTGAAAATTAAGTAACATCTTGAGGCAGTTCTGGGTTGATCCTCCTGAGGATATGGATAATGACACACACACACACACACTGACACACACACCTGACTCCACACTGGGGCTTAAAGTAGAGTGACCTATGAGAAATGGAAGGGGCTGAGACATACATAACCAACACATTTACTAGCATACACACTCATTCTTAATTGATATAGATATCTACCTGACTGGCAGATAGTTTAACACATAAAACAATATCTTCAACAACCACACATGAAAAATTACACCCTTTTCAATTCACTGTTTTTTGAGATCTACTCAATCAAATAAGGCTGTGGAGGCAACAAATCATGCCATATTCTTATAAAATCAACCTCAAATGCCATGCATATCAACAAATGTGACACTAGTGTATACTGTTTTAGATTCATCTAAGAACCAAATTACTAAAAGACACCTCTACGTGTGACTGACAGGAAACCGTACGACTATGTGCTGCATCTTTATGTCTGACATTAGCACCAAGGTTTCTTTCTTTTTCATTAAAAAGAAATACAGACACAGAAGACACAACAGTGCTGTGAATGACATGCAAAGCAAAAATCGTGACAATTGCGGTTATTAATTTGTATTTGACGACCTGAGTTGTGTACTGAAGCTGCATGTGACCGTGACTGTGTGCGCTCCTCTCCCAAAAACAAAACTGTAAGCATGCTCGCGCAAAAAAAAAGAAAAACAACAAAAAAAGGTTCCTCTACAGAAGTGAAGAAAGAAGGCCTAAACATCTTCAAGTATTAATACAGTTAGGCCTATAAAAAGCCCTGGACACACAGTATTAGAACCCAGAATAAACTCTAGGAAAGTTGAAGAGCAGTTATGGTTAGTTTGCATGTTTTCCCCCACAAATATAATATATATATATTCATATGTATATAAATAAAAATTCAGTGCTGTAAAAACATCTCCAACTCCATAGGATCTGACCCATCGTAGAAGGCCTAATAGTTTTACTCTTACTCTTCTCATGGCTAAAACTACTGCTGGAAGTATGTAAACTGTACTGGTTCTCCTGTGTTAATAGTCCTTCATTGAGAATACAACACTGAGGAAGAGAAGACTTGTTAATATCATTTTTTCTCTTTTTTGGTTTTACTGCACACAGAGAAACATATCCTGTCGTGTCATCTTTTTTTGTTTTGTTTTTGGTAGCAGCAAAGCACCAAGTTTGTGTCAGCCTCTTTGTGTGTAAGTCTCTCTGTGTGAGTCTGCTGTGTGTATGACATCACTCCATAGTCTCTGTGTGTGTATGCGTGTGTCTGTGTATGTGTGTTCGTGTATGTGTGTTGCGATCTATGAAGAGCACGGCTGCACGTTGATGCCGCGGGCTGCGTGGGCTTGCAGGTCGATGGCCTGAGCTGGCTGCTGTCCCGGCCGAGCGTTCATCAGTGTCAGGTTCCTCACGCAGCCCGTCATTCCCGACGAAAACTTCCCTCCTGTCATAGCAGCCATGTCTGGGGCTCCGCCTGTCACATGAGAACACACACAAAAAATTGTGTCTGTTAACTATATGACTGAGGTTATACAGTGATTCTACAGCGGTGTGCAGCAGTAGTTAGTAACGCTAGCTGTTGTTTAGTGTGTTTTAGCCCTGGACCCTGTCACAGCTATGGACAGACATAGACACACCCATCTAACAATTATCATACAAGATAAATGATTGTGTGTCCCAAGACCAAAAAAAGCCAAAACAAAGACACATGAAAATGAAGGAGCATAAAAAGAAAATTAACTAATAAAAGATAAAATATAGGAGTAAAAAAAAAAATATATATATTTTAACTATAAACGCTTAAAAAATAAAGATAAGAAAAAGAAAATTATTAAGCTAATAATAATAATAATATTTGATGATTTAAACAATAATATTATTCATTGGTGACGGTTATATATCTAACTTGTCAGTGATGGGGCTCCATACTTTCAGTTCACTCACCCAGGTATATACTGCCTTTGGTGTTGACCATGAGGCTTCCGCCTTTAGACTGTCCATGTAGCGCGGCTCCTCCATCAATCTGGATGTACCCATCTTTTCCAGTCCTGCAAGAAAAGAGGAACACAAGGAAATGAACACAACTCAATATCAAGCACTGAACAGACAAATCTGAAAATTGCAGATAATGTTGATAATATCAATCATACCTGACTGCTGTGATCTTATGCCATCTCCCATCGTTGATGGGCTTCCGGGACAAGATCTGTGCCTCTCCGCTGCCCAACTGGTAACTGGATAACACACAAAGCATCAGTATCACTGCAACATTAATATGAGCTGAAAATAATCCTACTCATCCAGATTTCAACAGAACTACGGGGTTACAGGCCTGAGTCACCTGAAAACAAGGCGTCCATTCTGTAGACCGAGGCTAATGAAGTCCTTGCCTTTGCCGTGTTCTCCGTGTTCCTGGAAATAAATGTGTTAATTCAGCAAGGGAAGGAGAGGTTGTGAGACTGAATGTGGTGAACCACTGACCAGCTGCAGTCATTTTCCGCACCAAGAGTCATAATAGCAAACATGAGGCAATGCATACAGATTGATCCCAACAGTATTTGAATAAGTGTGACGTAAAACCTTCCATGCGAAATAATATTAACAGACGCCATCATGCACATTGTGCAATACAGATATTTTCACAATCACATGATTCTCCTGAAATATCTCATTATTGTTTTACTATACATACATGTATGGAAAACACACATTATGAAACATGCCAAATAAACAAGGAGTGTCTTGTGTTTGAGTGGATACCTTTTTACTAGCATGCACCTTTCGCAAATTGCGTGCGCCATTGGTCTCCTGAAGAAAATGGAGTTGGAGTTAGAGAAGCAACATGCATTGATTTAGTGGTGTCAGACAGAGCCGTGCTCACAGCCAACATGCCTAGCAATGTTACAGCCTCTGTGGCTCGAGTATAAATTAGAATTGTGATGACGATGCTGCTCAATAAAATACAGTATTGTGTCAGTGATGTATTACTGTTGACATGCAAGTCCAAAACTCACTGACTGTTATGAGAACATTAATGAGTGTCACGTCTTTACAGATGAGGTAACGGTGATGATTAAGAGTGCTGAAATGCAGTAGCAAAGTTAGGGTGTGGATGAAAAAAGTGGACGGGAAGGTTGGGATTATATGGTTTGGTCCTACAGATGAGTCCAGGACCAGGACTCACCACTCCCTGCCACAAGATCAGGCCCTCAGAGGAGCCAGTGTTGATCTCCAGCTCGATGGTCTCTGGTGAATCATGGGCACTAAAACATAAAACATACATCATTTTTCCCTTGATGCATGTTTCATCAACTTCTAATAATAATCTGTGAGAGTAAAACAGTGTAGAAAAGTAGACTATACTGACCTTCTTGGGAAAATGGATTTAGGAAGGCCAATGTATCCATCATTGTGGAAATGAGCTGCATACTGATAGGGTGAATCTACAAAACATACAGAAAATGCAAATCAAGACAACATTTGGATAATAGTAAGGTTGCTGTGAAGTTTGATCCTCACTGTTATGGTGCCCTCCAGTGGCGAAAGCATGGAAGAAAACCCTGCTAAGACTTGGTTAGATACAACAGTTGTAATCAAAGAGGTATTCTTTAAGTGAGATTGAATCACTTAGCAAAGTATTTTATTTGTTGGTGGGTGTGTAAAGCTTAAAGACTATGTAACTTTTAAAAGAAGAAATAACACATTGTTCCTCTTACCAATGAAAAGTTGAATTTATAAGCAATAAAACGCACTCATGCTCAGTTAAATACTATCAGGGAATCTTTCTGCTACAGCCTGACTTACTTAGATAGATATTGCAATATTACTGAATTAGTTTGTTGACTTTATTACTCTTTTTTGTGCTACTGTGTCATTATGTTTAAGCATGTCAGAGAGATTTAATCGTATCTGGCATGCTGTTCATAAATTCAATACATATGATGTGTTAACTTCTTGTTTTACTTCTGTCATTTTGTAACATGCTGAAATATAGCATAAAAGTAAGTAAAAGAAGATCTCAGTTATGTCAGTTACAACGCAATACCAGTAAGGTTTGTTAGCATTGGCTAATAGAAGCTATACCAGACAAAGTACGTCTATACCAAAACCCCTGAGTCTGGAAATGAGCAATTTAATGATTTTATGATTGAATTCACCTTTACAATTGTAACAGGAAGATCATTTTATTTATTCTTTTAAAAGCTACATAGTCCCACTTTAAACACATATATAAAACAAAATATCACAAACCTAAATTTGATTATATGCCCAAAATCAATATGCAAATACTGCAATTTTGAAAACAACAAAAATCTTCAGTATGACCAAACCAGGCTCCATAATGCAAACTCATTTGACAGTCAACACATGAAAAAGTTATTTCACAGAGATCAAACTGAACGCACCATGGGTCCATGCAGGAATACCGCATTAAGTACAGAATATGCTTGAAATACATCTCAACTCACCCAAACACACTGTGCTTTCAACAGACAGTTGAAGTTGTTAGTAACAGCGCAAATGTGTGTAGCAGATTTAATGTTCTGACTCAGACAGTTTCAGAGAGAAAGACACGTATTTTCGTGTATTTTCTTGGTTTATAGACAAGCATTGTTGAGGTAGATGGAAACATGATTTTATGTTGTGAGTAGCCATCTTACAGGCATAGACATGATGATAAGGAAAAACAAAAACAAGGGGAATTCCACATTTCATTTGGGTCCAAAAACAGGGAGCACAAATCAGTTGATCTCCCGGCTACAATCTACAATCCTATTACCTTTTGATGTAGATGCAGAATTCCCCTCTCCCAACTTTCCAATGGGGAAAAGAGCCTCAGTTGCCAGTTGAGTACAGAGGCATGTTTGGTTTGTGTTTATGCGCGAACATGTGTTAGGCAATAGACAGTTCGGCTTGAGCTTGGAAGGAACGTGGGGCCCCTCGAGCTCAGACGGGCCCCTGTTAGTCACGGTCGTGTCAGGCAGACTGAATATTGAGATACTGTACCATTTGCCTCGCTAGCTTCCAAATTCCACTGGGCCTCGGGCAAGCTGGTGACATGGCCTGTGTGTGCAGGATATAGCCATGAGAGTGCAGGGGTAAGACATACGTAATCACTTAGGGTTGACCCTCCCAGCATGCACTGCAGGGGAGTCAACTGTCTGATGTTAGAGGGGCTTCATACTGTGGAGAATGTGAGTCATATGGACTCATTTCTGGTTGTCTTCTTTCTACTTGATTTCTACTTTGTCTATAGGATGCATGTGTATGCAGTAAGCGATAGGCGCTGCAGGGGGCCAAATGCTTTGGGGATTTGGAGAATGTTTTCAAGATAATATTGTATATTAAACACAATAGAACAACACAATTAAACCATTTCCCCTCACATGTTGTTCTTTTTTTATGGCTTTGATTTCAATACAACATTTGGTATACATGTTTGTGTAGCTAGTCAATACTTACTTTCTTCACAGTTCAGACCCGTGTGGCCGGGCGTACACACACACTTGCCGTCGACACAGCTGCCGCCATTCTGGCATTGAAAGTTGCTCTGGCACACGTCTTTGACCACCTCACAACGCTCACCTGCAGGGTCACATACCAGGTATGGGTCAGGGGTGAAAGGTTGACAGTCAAGTTCATACCAAAGACAGGGCGAGTTCATAGGACCGGGGGAAAATATATGGAGAAAAGTTATAGATATTGAAGGTGAAGTGAAAAATGGGCAGAAAACAGAAATGCGGTGCAGATTAGGCACCAGAATCCAGCGCTGTGTTGCAAATAATAACACGCTATGTCTTTTACATCATTTAGAAGACTTTAAGCACTTTCGCCACTAACCTTCAAATCCGTCCTTACAGAGGCACTGGTACTCATATTCAGCACTCGACATGCAGTGACCACCATTCAGGCAGGGCCGGCGGTCACAGGGACTGTTGTCCACACACTTGCGGATAGATCTGAATTCTGTAAAGCTGTAGGACAGATCCACCTTCTTGTTGTTGATGGAAACCTAAGCAGGCGGTGCAGACAAGTTTAAGCCACCACATACAGAAAAATGTTTGTGAACTTTTGTTTTATTTCCTTTCTTAGAGATCTCACCTCTCCTATACATCCCTCAAACATTTCGCTGACATTGGCAGGCTTAGGCAGGATCTCCATGTTGGGGACTCCTCCCAGGTACATGTGGGTGTGGATATTGAGGCCCTGGGCTTTTCCTGGAGACATCTTTTTCTCCACTGGGCCTTGGTCCACCTTCAGGTGGCCGGATCTCTTGTTTCGCTCGGCCACAACTCTGTGCCACTGGCCCAGAGACACTGGCTCTGAACTCAGAAGGATTGCCTGGCCTGAAAATCAAAAATAAACATGGATGAAGTGGGGGATTTGAATCCTCTTTCACTTAACTCCTTTGTCTCTTTAACTGCATTAAAAATCTTTATAATTTATTATAAGATTATAACTTATAAGACACATACAGTACAGTAAGGACAAATACATGAATGCCTTTCTGAAAATGTTATAGCTTTGTGTTAATAATTTACCTGTGCCCAGTTCATATCTGAACTCTACATGTCCTTCCACCATGGAGATGGCGACAAAGTCCTCCACCTTCATTTTCTTCCCTCCACAGAAGAACATCAGGCCATCTCTTTCCAGGGGCTTGAACTCCAGCTCAACACGCAGGTCATCATGGATGTTGGTCAGTGGAGGATAGGCTATGTATGATTCCTCACCATCAAACAGTGGAGTGGTCACCAATTCCCCTGGTGAAAGTGAAGTAAAATGGATATTTCATTACACATGAAAATTATCTATACCAGCATTGTATATATTCCTAAAAATACTTAATGTCTTAATGGGAGATGAGATTAATTTCCTGTCTTACCATCCATGCATTTGTTTCCAGACTTGCCAAGATGGCAGCGGCAGTCATAGCCAAGGCCATTTGCGCGGTTGATGCAAGTGGCATCTGGTCCGCAGGCCTCTGTGGGAGTTCAGATCACAAACAGATACATAAAACAATATTTATTTACTAGTATAACATTGCACTGTTAAATGTGCATAGTGATAGAGTTGATAGCAGCACCCAGGTACTATGATACACACTATATATATATATTTGTGTGGTCAGGTGGAGATCGTACCTGAGTGACAGTGCAGGGATGAATGGTGCTGGCAGTTGCTGCCTGTGAATCCTCTCGGGCAGCTGCACTTATACAAGCTGGCATCTGAGTCCTCACACCTCCCTTCATTCTGAATGATGACATGTAAGAAAATATGTATTAATTATGGGATTAAACACAAGACCAATACTACAAATACATCATGTGGATGGATGCAGCTGACCTGGCATGGCTGGTCTTTGCAGGTGGGACAGTTTGTGACACCAGTAGAGCTGCGGTCAAGGTCTTTGAAGATGACTTCATCACCTTGGATAACCAGCTGACGGATACAGCCTGCATACAAGAAATATCAACAAGGATGAGTCTTCACACCAAGAACACCTTTTCTCTTCATCGTATATTTCCTGTCAAGGTCTAAACAGAGATGTCTTACCAACAAAACCAGTCTTAATGCCAGCAGTTTTGGCGAGGACTGTGAAGTTGGGGTAACCACCCACATGCAGCTCCTCATTCAGATCCAGGCCCTGGAACTTGCCCTGAGAAGAGAAAATATACATTTATGGAACATATCAACTGGCATAAACAAATTAAAATACATATGCGTATGTGACAATAGGAGTTACATTAACATTGACAGAAGTACCTGTGAGCTGCCGTTGATGGGCTCCCCTCCGTCTACAATGATGTAGCCCAAGGTGTGGTTGCGATACAGCTCAACTGTGTGAAACTCTCCCAGTTTGACAGGGTTGGGGTCACGTATGGTGGCCATGCCGGAGCCCACGTCAAACCTGAGTCAATATAGCAGGTGATTACCGACAAGATCATCAAGCTGTGTTTTAAATTAATTAGCAGAAATATCAGTGTAAACTTACCTGAACTCTAAGCGGCCGCCCACTAGCCCCAGAGAGATAAAGTCTGCTCCTGTGGTCCTTCTTTGGCCATTGTAGAGGATCATACCTACACCACAAATACAGGGTGAGTGAGTACTAGTAAAAACTTAATCCTCAGTGCATTCCCCAACAATGATATCCATCTTAATAAGTCCATAAATCTAGCTGATTTATTTAAACAAATGGAATCTTACAGTATTTGTAATGCACATTATGTTCTTTCAAGAATTTCCTTGAGTCAATGATGAAACAATATCCTTTTTCAGCTTTGTCTCAAAATAATGCCATTTGTTTCTGCAAAATCTTGATTTTAAAAAAGATTTTATACCAAATAAGAGTAAGGGACTTGTTAGGATGGATATTGTTTGGAATAGATCCATTCACACAGAAGGTAAACTCTTTGAAAGCTGGATGGTAAAGCAGCATGCCATGGGGAGGCAAGATAAAGCCAACCAAAGCCATGTTATAACCTGCCATCTTATCTGGGCATCACTGGGCTGCCAAGTGCAACCAGTCACACCATACTGCCAGTCCTCTTTTGTTTGTCTCCACATGCTGGGAACACATGCTTTGAATGAGCTACAGAGGCTCACAGGAAGTGGGAGCATGCCCTCTCACACATCTAGCTATACCATCTCTGATAGTTGTGAAAAGGAGTCATCCATTATCTATTATGATCATATTATGCTGTAGATACTTATATCACACCTTTAAACAATGTGTTCAAATATCGTTTGTGATTCATTTTTAGCTTGTTTGTTGCTAAACACATACTTTGTCAGTCAATATAAAGAGAATAAGAGCCATATATTTTCCTTTGATTTAACAAACATTTCACTGTAATGTCTATTCTTTTTGCTGCCATGTCATTACAGAGCACTGTCGGTAGATTCAAAGAAACCATATAAGTTCTTGCAAATTTAACTGTAGCCCTCTTTATTTTCAGAACTGCAGTGAAACAACAACACCTACAGAAACATGTGTAGCACTGTATTTATACAGTTCAACCATATAAAGACTGTGATTTTGAACAGCAGAGCTGCTATGTAGGTGGTATAGAAGATGGCGAAGTAGACTGGCATGTAAAAGTGGAATTGTAAAAAGCTATTATTATGCTGATGACTGTAATACACCTAGAAGTGGCTTTGTGATCATGAGGGAAAGCCTGTACGAAAACATAGGCCATGCACCATCTGGCATCTCTTTCACAGCCTCTAAATCAGCTCTGAGCTGGATGCATTATGTGAAAATATGATGGAGCCAAGAAGCAGAACTGCCAACATCACTCTTGAGTTCCTGAGGATCTCAAGCACTGAGACTCACCAGCGTACAATATGAGACCTTCCCACCACGTGGGTGAGAGGAAGAGGTGAGGGAGAGAGGGAAGGGACAGAAGACGCAGTGAAATTATACATGAGGAAATATAACAAACATAGTACAAAAAGCAAAAAACATTTTCACGCTGCAATATTCAACAAGAAAACAGTGTAAAATAATACATTATACAATTTAACTGTCAAGCTAATTTAGAGTTGCACTTCCTTACCATCAACATTATCGGGTCTAAAGTTGATCTTAATGCTGAAAGCCTTGTAGGCATTTTTGATGGTGGGCAGGGTAAGGTAGGACGAGGGTTGCTGGGCAAAGTATGGCATCACTCTCTCTGAAAAAGCGAATTAATCTCATAGTTAGATATAGATAACTATACAGTTTATACAGTATACTACTTTATACTTTTCTTTTATTTATTAACATCCCTTCCTACAGTACTCCCCACTCTGCAGACTAACCGTGGACTTCAAGTGTAGTAAAGGCTTCCACTTTTCCCTGTTTGTTAGAGGCGGTGCAGACATATGTCCCAGAATCCTCATGGGTCACCCCAGGAACTGTCAGCACATTGACTTCTTGGAAACACTTAGGAGGAAGCTCTCCATCCAGCTGGATACATAAACAGTAATAAAAAAGTTACTCTCTTCAAGCCAGATGAGTTGGCATTTAGACTACAGACATCATAGAGTATTAAAAGGAGGCCATACAAACGTCCTCTTGAAGATTAAGTTTATTGAACAACAATAATATCTTGGTTACCTTGGACCATTTGATCTCAGGTACAGGGTATCCTGAAGCCACACAGGGCATGACTGCATCAGACCCAACTGTCACCTCCTTAGTTTCAGGCAGCGCAGCAATTTGAGGAAGGGCTGTGCAAACAGGCAAAGGATTTCAATGAGGCTGGTGTTAACAGCTTAATTGCCAACATATGGCAGCAGTGTGTGTACATGCATTTCTGCAAGTGTGATGGAGGGAACTTAATGTGGTGTTTTCTGTGCACTCACACTGGACGTTAAGGACCACCTGGGACTGCACTGAGCCTACGTCGTTGGTGGCCGTACAGCGGTACTGCCCGGCATCGGCCTCCGTCACCTGCTCGATCTTCAGCATGCCACCCTTCACCATGATATGAGCGGGCAGAGACCCACCGACTTTACTCCACTGAACCGTGGGCTCTGGGTCACCAACAGCCTGGCACTCAAACTCTACTGAGTTTCCTATCATCACAGTCTGCACTGAGGTACGCACATTGATCATCACCTTCGGCAGGGCTGTTGAAAAGAAAAGAGCAGAGAAGTGACACGTTAAATTTGGCTTTGATGTAGCAGGGTGTATACTAATGTATTTGCTGGGATCGTAACAAACCTTGGATGGTCAACCTGGCAGTGTCTTGAGCCTGACCATACCCACTGCTGGCTCTGCAGATATAAACACCTTCATTGCTCTGCTCAAGGTTCTCAATCCTGCATAAAAAAATAATTACACACATGAAAACAAGCCACAGTATGGTTTTTACCAGAAAAGATCTTACTGTCATCAATTCCCATGAAAAGACAATGAATTCATTCTTATATAGTCTATTGATCTCTGCCTTTATTGCCCATCAAGTATTAAAACACATTAATGCTGCTTTAAATACTTGCTAGAGCACCAAGAATATATATATATATAACAAATATGTTGAAAAGGCTCAGCTATAAATACTTGTTAATGGGTAAAATGTGGAAAATTGCAGTTAATTTAACATCATATCCATACATATGGTGTGTATGAGTCACCTGAGCACCCCATCCTTGACGTGGTGGTTGGGTGGAAGAGCTCCTCCTTCCTTCAGCCACTCGATTTTGGTGTCTATACCACCTGCTGCGGAGCAAGTGAACTCCACAGCGCTTCCCTGGGCCTTTACTTCCACCTGGGGTGATACACGCACTGCCAAGGGAGCTACAGATTGGAAGGATAGAGACATGATTTAGGTCTTGATGTGGTAAAAGATTATCACTACTACACATCTTTTTTCAATTCTAATCTTCCTGTTCCTGTTCCTAAACATGTGCTAACTATCTACATCGAGATTTTAATTATTTAGAACATGTAAAACCTTGTCAGATTATTACATTATCAGCAAACTTACATCTGACTGTGACTTTAGCGACCACTTCGCTGTTGCCCACTTTGTTGCTGGCCACGCACTTGTAACTCCCAGCATCCTCAGCAGTGGCCAGGTTGATCTGAAGATCCCCTCCGCTAACCTGGGCCCTCGGGGGCAGGTTTCCATCAAGTTTGGCCCAAGTGTAGGTCAGAGGAGGAGTGCCATGAGCCAGGCACTGCAACCTGATCACCTCCCCTACCCGGACAGCCACGTCATCAGGCATAGAAGTGGCATAGGGAGGAGCTAGAGAGAAGATAAAAAAGAGATATAATTGCAAAACAAGACATATTAGGAATTTCTAGTCACTGTCGTCTATCATCCATTCTAGATCCAGTCGATGAATACTTTCAAATAAAATGACAACAAACACTCACTCTCTACATCGAGCATGATGGTGACTTCAGTGTTGCCCATGTTGTTGGTGGCACTGCAGATGTATTCTCCAGAGTCTTGGCGACCCACGTTGGGCAGCACCAGGCTGTTGTTCACCACCTTGTGTCTCCAAGGCAGAGGAGAGCGCAGCTTGGACCAGGTGATCGTCGGGGACGGGAAACCTAGAAAGGCAAATAGCAGATCAAAACATTAATTTAAAAAAAGTTTGTACAGGGGTTTTTGGACAGTCTTTGGTAAAGTCCTGCAACATAAAAAGTGCCACACACAAACAGGACAGAAAGAAAAAGCCTCAAATGAATTCCAGTGGTATAAATGAGCCATCATTACCTTGGGCCTCACAGCGCAGTGTTGCAGTCTGTCCCTCCACCATAACCATCAGCGGTTCAGTAACAAAGGCCCATGGCACTGTGGGCACTTGAGAACCTCCTTCAACCGTGACCTCCACCTTGGTCTCAGTAGTGCCCTCATTGTTGCGAGCTGTGCATACATACGTGCCACTGTCCTCCGGACGTGCTACTAGTATCTGAAGAAAAATGGATTTGCCTCAACATACAAATACATGGAGTTTCCAAACAAAGCTGATTTCAAATAACTGAAACTGTTCTTCAGTTGTTGACAGTGTTGTCAGATGTATTTACCTGCATGACTGCGTTGGACTCCATGGGTACAGGGCTGCTCAGCATGGTCTTGCGGTTGCTGTCCAGCCTGTGCCATGAGACGGTGGGGCGGGGCTCTCCTGACGCCTGGCATTCCAGGTTAATGGGCTCTCCCACCCTGACACTCACAGGTCCAGCAGGAGTGACGGTGGCCACAGGAGACTCTGAGGGCACAAAATACAGGTATGGCTCTCTATCTGATGAGCCACTAGAGGGAACCCTTAATTTACAGGTTTGGGGTGGGGGTGTGAGGACTGAAATGTGAAAAGTCCTTCTGTAGCAAAAATGAATGTATGAATGTGTTCTTGTTTGTAGCTTACCTTTGACAATCAAAGACACGATGGTGTGGGTGATGCCGAACGGGTTGCTAGCCACACAACGGTAGGCACCATGGTTCATAGGGCGGACAGAGACAATGGTAATAACCGAACCATCTGGGCCAACTTTAACATTATCTGCAGAAACAAGGAGAAAATTAAACATTAAATCGGCTGTAGAGGCCGCAATTTAAAGGTCCACCAATTCTATATATGAAATTGTGTTCACTTATCATGGTTAGCACTATTAAGCCTGTGTAAACAGTTGTATAATGTCTTCTATACCTCACTTTCTAAAGTTTTAATATAACCCTGTCATAAAGATTCCCAGCTTGGGCTTCAGACTTAAATTGGTTTAACGAAAAGTCTACATTTAAACTGAAGTGGGCATTTCGAAGGCAGGGTATTTAATGACAGATGCTTTTTAGTTGCATTATGAGAAGCGTATGATGCAGAGTTTTTGGAGGTTTAATTTGTCTCTTGTCAGTCCCCCAATTTTATGGGAGAGCAAAACTAAATCACTGGGGTAGCCCTGTAAGACATGTTGAGTAGTTCTCAACCTAGGGTCTAAGACACCCCCTTGCAGATATTCATAACTAGGGGTAAAATATCTACAGCTAAAGAAATCTTGTGGGAGTGTGTATGAGTAGTCTAGCTAAGTCAAACGTATTTTCACTCTTTTATAAAAACTGTAAACAGAGGTCAAAGTAGACCGGAAGAAATTACTGGATACAAGACACAGATTTAATTTATTTACTGAATACACTCCACAAAGCACTGATAGAAGCAAAGTCTCAAAAAACCATCATGTCAGTAACTCTTAGTAGGCTAAATCTTTTAGAAATGCAAAAACCTCAATGTCTAAAGAAAAGGAACAAAAAAGAGTTTTAAATTAAATGAAGTAACAGAGGAGTAATTCATGGGTGGGTTGCAGCTGTAAATGCTTGTAAATAATGACATCATAAAATCAGAACTCATTAAGCAGGTTTATTCCTCAATGTGTGTGTGGTTATTACCTGGCAGCGGCTGGTTGTTGGCCAGTTTCCACTCCAGTCTAACAGGCTGGGCTCCGCTGTACACCCTGCACCTGAAGCTGGCAGACTCCCCTACGCGCACCGCAGCACTGTGGGGCTCAATGGCGATGATTGGACTCTGAAGACCTGCAGCAGAAACCAGCGGTTTGGGATCCGGACAGATTCTATTTGAACATTACTTTTCATGATCTCACTTCATTTAGCTGACTTATTATTCACAGAAACCTGAAGTAACAAATTACTATTCAATGTGGCTATGGGCTTCACTGGCAGAAGTCCAGGAAGGAGTGAAAGAGGATTAGATCATGGGACAGTAGCGAGGAAAATCATTCAATCTGAGGTCACGTTGGGCTCCACTGGAAAGTACGACTGGAAAGTTCATTCATGAAGTGAGGCAGTGTTAGTCTGAGAACAACACCCTGCCATGTAATGCCCTGCCCTTAATGTGTTTTTCCCAGCCTCTGACTGATGCTGCCATCAACTGTAATTTCCTTGGTTAGACAGTAATGACTGTCTAATCAGACGGGCATCAAGCACAGTAAAAGAATAGCGGGAACATTTGAAAAATGAGCAAATATCAAAATCTATTTTATTATTCGGTTTTGATATGAAAAATACTTTTTTGATCTGTCTGCAATGTCAGTTAATATGCCACCTGTATGAGTCCTAAACTTACGTGAAGAAGATGAAGTAACAGACACTGAGACAGAGGCCTGGTGGACGTGAGATCCTGTGTTCCCAGTGTTGCCCTGAACCCGACAGACATACTCCCCTGAGTCCTCTGGAGTGGCTGACAGGATACGCAGCTGACTGCCCAGAACCTGCACACAGCAGACAAGGAATGGAGAATCTTCAGCTCATCTTACAAGTAAAATCATCATTATACTTTATACTTTACACATTTATACTCCTATCACCTCTACTGCTACTATTACTGGCATATAATACTATATAATACTGATATTTCCCAATATTGCCCATGAAATCTATATGAATATAGGATTTAATATTAAAATGGTGGGGGGGAAATGCTGCACAAAAATGAATTTTAGGAATTATCTAGTCTAAATCAACACATGTAAAGAAGAATTCAAACCACACATTGGAATAGCAATAATCCTATTAATGTCTAGGTTCATATGCTAAAGAGCTTCAAACTGTAATGGCAGCGATTGTGACCCAAATGACCAAAATTTTGAGGGGTCTGGAAAAGTTTTTGTCTGCTGCATCACATTCAAAGATCGAGAAATTATCTTTACCAACATTTAAGACAGATGTCTGATCAAATGGGGGCAAAATGATTTCACCTTCACATCTTAGTGTGATTACCTGGTGGTTGGAGGAGAGGCGTCCACTGGCTCTTGTCCAGGTGACTTGGGGAGGAGGATTTCCAGGGGCAAAACAGTTGAGCTCCAGATTCTGGCCCTCTTGGACATCAGCTATAGATGGCTGGATGCTGACCACTGAGGAGCTATGGTCTGCTGCACAAATACAAACAGATGCACCTCATAATGTTTTTCCTGTAAAAGATTCACTCTGAATCTTATGACTTTACAGGAAGTACTGATTGTTTATTTCTTTCCTTTTTTGTGGTGTATTATAAAGTGATAAATGCTCTGGTCATTATTACTGTGAAACTACTGTTCATGTTATTGTGTTTCTCAGTTGCTGGGTGACCTTAAGGAGGGGGGATATTGGTAGATAAGGGGAAAGCATGGAGGGGGAAGGTTATGGCTTTTCTGGATGGGAGGGAAGTTTTATTTTAATATAACCTCCATTGTCATAATGCCAAACTTCTCCAGAAAAGGAACAAGTCGTTTGTAAATGGCTACTGCACCTGTATGTGTATGTATGTTCATATCTATCTATTAATATTATCATTGCCGTGTTTTATTTATCCAAACCAAACATCTGCGGTGGGATGATTCCATTTGACTTCTGTGAGAGCTCACCTTTGAACACAGTGACTTTAATGGGAGCACTATTTGAGCCAATGCTGTTGCTACCAACACACATGTAAGTGCCTGAGTCGGACATCTTGATGTTGGGGATGAGCAGAGTGCCAATGTCTGTGCGGTCCATGCGGGCCTGGAGAAGACACACCAATAAGTGACGAGATTAGATACTTATCTTAAATACACCACCTTGTGGCTTTCTTGATACAAATTGCTGTGCATTACATTTCAAAGATATGATTTTATTAATATGTACAGTATAAAAACACACATAACTCATACAGTTTATTGAAGACAAAGCACATCACTTACCTGACTCATGTCCCTTGAAACTACACAAATATGACATTGCTGACACTATGACAATACTAGCTAATAGCGACACAAAAGCACTACAGCGTAGATCTTTAAGACAAGACAAGAGTTGTTATTGCTACAGTTCATTCTTTCTGTGAATGGATTTTGGTTTATGATTTCTATGACACTGTACTTTGTACATGAATTTGTGTACGAAGTAGTGCCAACATTTATACAATGATTGGTGGGGTTATGATTTGTTAATATGTCATGATCAGTGGTAATTAAATTTAGTATTATCTTTTTTCTAAAAAAAGATTCATGATTGATATTTTCAAAATGATGAAGATTAGGAGATGATGTGATACATTGATTTGAGGTTACTCGATAAGCATTGCAAAGCAGTTCTTAAGAGCAAGATCAGTGAATAATCACTAACCAGTGCCCTGGAAGTTAAAATCCATTATTAAATATCTGAGAGCAAATACTGAGTAAGAACCAAAACCTGAACTTTCAACACTCTCAGAACCCTCATGACTTTCTGGCTCATGAGCAATCAACAACATGACTTGTTTGTACACTACTCCACATGGCAGTCAGAGACCCAGCAAGGCTGAAAATGAGCTTTCATAAAGTTTGGAAACACCTCAGAGGGGAGGGGAATCAGGAGGGGAGGGTCTGGGTTGGGATTACTGTATCCGGGGGGTGTTGGGGCATCCATGGACAAAGCTGCTTAGCTCCAGCCCATTCAACCATGAGGGAGGCTAAACCGAGCAGTGGCTGAGGCGGGCCTCGGCTCAATGTGTGTCTGAACCCATTGACGAGTTTTCAAAGCAAGCCGTTTGCTAGAGCATACAGAATTTCTGCGTGGTCGCACGGCAGAGCCCAGCTCCCCCTGGGAAAGGCTGACACAACGCAGTGGCTCTCTGAGGCAGAACTAAACAGGCCCCGGAGCCCTAAACGAGCCGAGGAGGGCTGTGCAGAAACCAGACTAACACAATACCCCTTTGGGCAGGGGGGCAGCGGGCTGTGCCTGGCACTGAGCAAAATATGTCTGAAATACCTACAGTACCTACTGTATATTTAGTCCTGTTAATACACTCAATGGAATGATGAGCATCAACTGGGTGCTGAGAGCCCAAACATGTCAGCGATGGTATGATGTGGACAGTACAAAACGAAAGACTATGGAACACTTTAATTAATAAAACGCAACATAAAAACATGTACTGCATGCAAGTACATTAAGAAGTCAACCAGACTCAGGCTATTTGGTTTTAATGTATTTGGCATCAGCTCTAAAGGGACTTAATGAGCAGCTGTGGTAAATTAACAGGATTTACAAGGTGTGAATCAAGGACACATTTGATCATGCACTTAGTCGACAATGTGTGAAGACGAGGTCAGTAGAGGACAATGTATGTGAACTACGAGACAGGACAGACAGACAGCGGACAGATGGACAGACCTGCAGCTCCTCAATACGTCTCTGTAACACATCGAGACTGTTGCTTTTAAACTGATGGAAACCGTGAGAGGGAATGGCCTGAGCAAACGTCAGAACAGGGTGGGATCAAAAAAAAAGGGGGGAGGAGACAAACAGAAGGGAGGGAAAAATAAAGGTAAATGGTCAAAATGCTGAAACAGTCATAAAAACTGACACAGTATGATGAAATACCACCGGCACCCGACACACCTTGAAGTACAAGATAGAGATATGGAACAGCAGAAAAATAAATACAGTTTTCATCAATCCGTGTTAAAGTCATCAGTCAGGCACACCAGGAGGTGTCTCACCTGTGGGGGGATTTGTCCTCCGTTTTTCAGCCAGGTGAGCTTCGGGGTGGGTGATCCTGTTGCTCGGCAGTATAACCTCAAGGTGTCACCTTCATGGACTCCAATATTTTGGGGACTGACTTGGACTTGGGGCTGAGTGCCTAGGCCACTTGGGTTAGACTCTGACCAAAAAAAATGCATTGTGATCATTTAAACACAAAATATAACCACCCCAACTTCTTGACCTCAACAGTTCAATTTTCACCAATTTAGTTGTTAACTTATTGTTTTACTTTTGTGATGTTGTTTACTGGCTAAAATGTAGTCTTGCAACAGTGCAAATATAAAATAATCCTAAAAGGAGATTAACTGGCTCACTGTGCCGCTAAAGCTAATTAACCTAATTTTATGTCTGTATATGTTTTAGATAAATAGAAAACACTCTTATACCCTTTTTCATAACTTAAGGGGACATTGCATTGACTTGCAAGAACTCCCTGAAGACTTAACCCAACCTACCTAACCTTACCCATAATCACTACATTCCTAACCAAAAACCTTGTCCTAACTTAACCTACCCCCGAACCATGTCTTAACCAAATAATTGAAGTGTGTAAACAGGTTCGCACACACATAAACACAAAACATACTTTGGACAAAGAGGGAAACCCGTGCTGTGTGCTCCCCATGAGTGTTAAGGGCTTTGCAGGTGTACTCTCCCTCATCAGCTGGGTCTACTGCTGAGAAGGTCAGTATGCCACCTCGTATCACAGCTCTGGGACTCAATCTGTTCCCTGGACCTCCTGTAACAATCACAAAGTTACACCTTGTCACTGAGACCTGTAGGGTGAATTGCTGGTTAAAATCTGGGACTTTGTACTGGACTGAATTTCTCCAAATCATACAACAGAAATAGAGAAACAGGCCTTTCCATTGACATTACTATGGAAATATATAGCTACAAGGCCTGCACTAAACATTTAAAAGGTTGCGGTCTAAGTGGTCATACCGATCCATTCAATGGCAGGGGTTGGGTTGCCAGTGACTGTGCAGCGAAACTCTGCCCGCTGGCCCTGCTGGACATTCAGCACTGAAGGAGTGATGGTGGCCACAGGCTGGGCCCCCTCTGCAGCTACAGAAGGAGACACATCAGTTAAACACAGCTCAAAATGGAGAGAGTGAGACTTCCCAGAGGCAAATGGGGAAATAAAGCTATAATGCAGATTCGTATGGTAGTAAAGTATAATATGAAACCTTGTCAGGAGTTTACATCGGCAGCTTGGTCATTATATTAAGCTGTGGGAATGCTTTTGATTACAACGAATTGATCGGACTGAGAAAGAGAGAGAGTGATGGCTGCTGTCTGTGCCCCCACCCTCACCCTTGGCAGTCTAGATCCTCAGAGCAGACGAAGCAGATGAGATGTGGCAGGCAGACCTTGGCATGGCCTCTGGGCATATTGCAGTCTGTGCCAGTTTGGCTGGCTGCTAGACTTTCTATTCAATCCTGTATGATTCCAGGGTGGGCAATAGAATGGCCCCATTCAGTAGGGAGGGAGGAGTATGAGGCTATCTAAGCAGGCTGAAAACCCCTAGGACTGTTGTAGCTTGGGCCGAGCTTTGACTCTCTGGCCTAAGTGACACCAATAATCCTACAATATGATCTATGGTAGAATCAGTGCATCGGGAGATGAAACTTAAAGGGCTGATTCACCCAGATTAAGAAAAAAACATAATTTCTCAATTCACTGCCTCCAGTGATATCTCTCCAAAAGGATAGTTTTGGTTTCATCTGTCCAGGTATCTGTTTGCTAGCACCACAATACAATGGAGGTGGATGCAATTTCATTTGTGCTGCCGAAAAGAGAAAAACTATGTTTAAAGATCCAGTTTGTAGGATTTAGTGGCATCTAGCGATGCCGTTGCAGATTGCAACTTCCTCGTTTGACCCTCCCCTTCCAAGTGTGTAGGAGAAACATGTAAAAAATGTGAACACCCCTATCTAGAGCCAGTGTTTGGCGTGTCACATCTGGGCTAAATATAAAACTGATTCCTATATTTAGATGATTGTTTAATAATGAAAATATATGAATATTATATTCCATTTCTGCCAGTAGAGCCTCTGGCCCTTTAAAAAAGACTAAGAGTCTACAGCTATGCTAGCTGCTCTGTGAGGTTGTATTGCACAGCGCCATTTGCTAATGAAAATGCGACGATGATGACTTGTGGTAGATGTAATGTTTAATATGTACACTGTCTTAGTTTACTGTGTTGGCATGCTAACATTAGCTAATTAGTACTAAACAAAGTACAGCTAAGGCTAATGGGAATGTCTTCATTTTAGGTAGTATCAGTCACCAAAGTTACAACTCAGATATCTCTACATTTGGAAAGATAAAACTAAAACTATCATCATGGCTAGATGCCACTATAGATAAGGAAGGAAAATGTGTTTTCTTTTCCTTGGATGTATGAAATCTTTAACTCCCTTATGACATATGCAATATATTTTGACTTCCATCTAATAATATCACGTTAACTGCGTTATTTAAAGCACCCTTCCATCTGTTTGATGCACTGAAACTAGGCATCTCACACTGGACACAGGTCTGCTACCCACATTCAGCTATGATGTAATGAGATTGTGATGGGATGTATTAAGCACAGTATGATGTTTGAAGCCCAGATGACAGCTACTTCTCAGTACAGCATGTTTCCTGAGGAGAAAAAGTGTGAAGAGGAAAAAAAGAGAAAGGGACATCTCTTGTCTCTGAATGTGGAGACACAGTCATCCAGAAAATATGTGAGCCTGTAGCTACTGATTATGTAATAACTAACAGACTAAATCATTGGCAAGATATAATAAAAACGGCAATTAAACCTGCTTATGTAATACAGCAAGTTGCTGGATAGTTTAATTCCATTAATCTAAAGTGATTTTTTTTGTTATATAGATTTTTTCATATCAAATTAATGGTTTTTTATGTTTTTGTCAAATTTAGAGGGACATTTTCCGACATTATACAATAGTTATTATATATATAAGTGCATTTAAAAAATATAAATCTATTTTTACAGTGAGGCCAGTAGTTACCATATAACACTGACTGTGATCTTTTTTAATAATGGAAACTTGAGGACTCAACATTCATGAGGAGTTGCCCATAAGAATGAACATGCACTTTTTCCTGCAGTGATGGACCCCAATGAACCCAGAGAGCCAGGTAGGAGCCAGTAATGCTCATGTACAATCCAACCATCGACTCTTAACAAAGATAGGACTTTAAAACTTAGATATAGTGAGAATAAATATCCATCTTTAGATCTAAATTCAACTAAAGATGCTTACAAACAGCATGTAAGACAGCACAGATGCTCAGGGCTGTCATGTGTGAGAGTGGGTGTAGACAGTCTCTGCAGCTGCTGCTTGGTTGATTGTACATGGGCGCTACCAGGCCACCAGTATATCCATGCTGCGGAAGATGAGTGCATGCATGACATAGAGAGGGAGAGGCGGGTCCCTCCAGGGAGCCCGGCACAGAGGAAACCATGCCCATGCGGACTTACGCTTTCTGTGTCCTTCAAACATTTCATAGGCTGTGTAAAACATCTGAGTCTGTGAGGCCTCTGGAGTTGTGGGAGGAAGGGAGGGGAGGGAGGGAGGGGACAGGTAAACTGACAGGTCAGGTTTCAGGGTAAGAGCAGTTTACCTCCCATCTCCCCGGAGACACATTCTCCAAATGTGGGCCGCCGTGATGTTGTCCAATTGATTCCGAAAAGCAGCACACACGTTATTAAAAAAAAATTAAACTGGCACCAACTTTTTTTAAAAATTCCATTTCAGCTCATGATTCATTTCCCTGCTTACTTCATGATTTTTGTTTATCCTGTTAGTTGGTGCCATTTAATTCATAGTTATGTACATTCAACTTTCACACTTACCTTTGTTAGAATGACCATTGTAACAGTTCATGCTTATCTCACACAGTATCAATCAAACAAAGAACAACAATACTCCAAAATGCTTCTTATGCTGTGAATTCAAAATCGAGATACACACACACACCTACACACACACACACACACACACACACAGTCGCAGATCATGAAAACTGTGCAGGAGCACAAGGAGGGATGAAGTTATGCAGAGTAGCCACACATGAGACATGCAGGTTAGTAGCGAGAAGCAGTTTTAAACATTGCAACACTAGTTTCATTTCAGCTGTTAAAAAGCTGACATACAGCTTGTGGTAATCCTGAACTGACCTAGATAATGTGTAAATGAGCCCCGTACATGAATTAGCAAATCACTCTGATCAATTGTCGTTATTTTAATCAATTTTCTCTCTTTCACAAAATATTTTCACAGTTAAGATAAATACATTACAATGTGACATGTGTACATTACATCAGTTAGGTATTCTTTAAAAAAGAAATGTTTAATGTTTTAAAATCTTTACAGAAGCACCTTTGGGTATATTTGCAATCATATAGCCTTTGAGTCATGAATGAACAAATAAAAAAAATGCAGCCATTGTAAAGTAGTTAAGACCAAATGTTTAAAAAAGAAAAGGTGTTAAATGTGACCTGTGATTCTTGAGGTGTAAGATGTCCTCATAGATATATAAAAAATATTTTCTTATAAAAACACTTGAAATTGCCTAAATGTAAACACACATCATGCAAGGTAATTGCATTCACATGGCCAATTCCTTTGAAAAAAGAAAAGAAATTCTAACATTTCTGATATATTTGATTTCATGGAAACATTTCAGGATATCATATTTCAGTCAATCAAAAAAAGAATGTGCCAACAACATTGATATGATGTAAATAATAAGACCATAATATACAATTGTAGATGATTATTGACAAAATTAGGATTAAAAAAACATTTTTTTCCCCTTTTTCTTCTGCATTTCAAGTCATATCTCGAATACTTTACCAACTAAATTTGACAAGTAACAACTGATACAAACAAAACCAAATTTACTTTTACTAAAGGAATAGAGGAGTGATATTACAGCAGTATAACAGCAAGTTAAGAAAGTGGATCCAACCATAGGTTTAACCAACTGCATGGCTAATAGCACCGTTTTGTTCATTGATCAGGATGATGTAGTAACGCAGACAGTAATTTCAGGAAGGAATACTTTATGGAGTAGAACAAACAAAGCCGGGGTAGTGGGGTTCTTCCTACTTCTCCCCTCTTCCAGATACACTGAAGTCCTCTTTGAATGTCAGTCGCAGAGTCACTAAGCACCAATCGTGACATCCACATTCCTCCTCATCATTATAAACTACAGCTCAGGCAGGAAGGGGCCCCAGGAGCGCAAAGTTAAAGACACCAGAATTTAGCAGAATTTAAACCAGCGACTCTACCAGTGATCGAGAAGCAACCAAACCACCACCGATTAATTCAACCCATGTGAAAACAAAATAAAAAAGAAGAAAGAATAAAAGACCTGCAGTAGCTTCAGTAGAGCGTTGGTGGAAAGCATTACCCGCAAATCACTGATCGAAAAGAGAGCTCATTTGGCCTAAGTGTAGTGAATGTGTCATGAATTTGAGTGCCCATTAGTTAAATCTAAATCTGCTTTATTGACCCTATATGTTATCTTTATACCCTATAGTTTTAGTTTTAACCAAACCCACAAGCTGTATTTCTTCATAGTAAGTCCAGAAAAAAACACTGATCAGACATATACAAGACAGCAAGTAAAAAAAAAAGGCAGTAAGAAGAGCTGGATTGGCAATATGAGTAAGACATGGCTTATATGTTGGTATTTGACAGCAGAGGGCAAAAGCATTGGGAGTTAGAATTGCAAGCTTATTATGCTGTTAACCCAGAGCTGAGTGTTTATAGTGCATGATGAGAAATGCAGTAAAACAGAGAAGCATGCACCACTGCAAGCTGGAGGGGGACTCAAGTTTAGGGAGGAGGGAAACTACAGGAGCCAGAGCTGGTGGGGTAGCAGGAGGTGATGGGTAACGGAATGCGGTGCCGAGGATCACGAACCTGGCACGTAGAGGATGGCATTGCCCTCGTCCATGGCAAACATGTTGGAGCCTGTGCAAACATAGACTCCTGCATCCTCGGGCTGGACGTTCTGAATTGTCAGAATGCCGTTGAAGTCCATGGCCCGGTTGGGCAGCTTCCCGTTACCCATACGGGTCCACACCAGGGTGTAGGCTGGGGACTGTGGGGGCGATGAGCAGAAAAAGATGCATAAATCACAACATGCACGCAGTCTCAAACATGGGAAAAAATGTTCTTGTTGTTTGGCTGCTTACAGCAAAATGTTTTTTTTATTAAAAAATAATAAAGTAAAACAACAATGATCATCCATTAGTGTTACCTTGCTCTTTGCAGTACAGATGAAGCTGACAGTAGACCCCACCCTGACAGTCTGGGCTTTGGGCTCCTCAACTGTCACCTCAATGGGTTTGGATTGACCTGGTGAAATGCAGAGACCAGTTTATACTTATGCTCATAAATATAGATATAGTATTTCAAATTACAAAGTAAAAGCAAACTGACCAACACTTATAGGAGAGCCTGTAAAAAAAATCAAAAATTCTAATGAGTTTTTATGTTGGGATAACACTAGTAAAAAAATCTAACTATTTCAATTCACTATAAAAACTATATTAACCTTATTAAAACTTAAGGTCACGTCTAATTCGTCGGTTAATGTCTTTTTGCTAGCTCTATTATGCATATATACTCCCAGCACCTTCAAAACTCCAAATAACAAGAATGCGCCACACACAACAGTCAGCTAAATTAAAGAATGAGGTCTTACATAATCCATGCATAAGCAAACCCATGTGTTGAACCACGGATGGTCTCTATTTAGTGTGCTGCAATAAGCTGCATGAGAGAAAAGCCTATTTGCTAACAGTGAGCCCATACACACTTGTGACAACAATTTCAGCACGGCTCCTGTTGGTGCTTCGTTGGTCTCGGCAGGTACAAACGTAGACGCCGGCATCACTCGGCTGGACGTTGGGGAAGTACAGCTCTGCTCCTGCACGCACAGATGAGCAACAGGTGTCGTATTCACACATTACATGTCATTCTATGTATATGAATTATATGCAGTTTGTTCAGATCAGTTAAGTCAGAACTTTTAAAACTGTATTTCAAACTAAAAGAAAGAGAAATTTTCTTTCCATGCCACATTAGTCGTGGTCATGTTGTTGAAGTGTGCGATATACCTTGTCTGCGTCTGTCAGCACTGCCGGAGATGGGTCGTCCATCCTCTCTGGACCAGTAGAAATAGTGTGGAGGATTGCCGGACACCTGACACCGGAGAGTGACAGGGCCACCCTGAGATGCCAGGACCCTCTCTGGATAAACCTTCACCACCAGGGAGGCTGCAGCTGCAAGGTGCAAAGGTCATAGCAAACTCATCAGGAATACTCTGAGAATAACATAACTAATGGCATCAGAGTGGTAGAGAGCTCAGACAGTAAAGTTATGCTTCTTATTTCTCAAAATAGACACACAAATTCCGCACATTTATTTCATGAGGCAGGTGCGTAGGAGTGGAATGAGTATCTAAAAGTAGAAAAGATAAATTTGTCTGAGGAAGGTCTAGTACCGAAACGTTAGAAATAAATGTTTTCTACTGCAGTTTAGACAGTATTTAGACAGTTACAACTTTTCTACACTGTCTCACAAAGCAAAGCTGGACACCATTTAATGGTGACTTGTGTTTTTAGCTAACCTGGTCAAGGGGTAAGTGTAAAGGAATAGTTAGACATTTTGGGAACTATTCCTATTCCCTTTCTTCCCGAGAGTTAGATTAGAAGATTTACACTGCCTTATCTTTCTGTTAAATATGTAGCTACGGCTACCGTTGAGGGTTGACTTGAGCATGAAGATTGGAAATGGGGTGAAACAACTAAACTGGCTGTATCAAAAGGTAACAAAATACGACTACCAGCACCTCTAAAGCTCAGAAATTAACACATAATATCTTATTTGTTTAATCCATACAAAACCAAGGTATAAACATTACAAGTTGTGGTTTACTGGGGCTTATGTGCTGGAATATTTCTTAGGTGCAATGACTTCCTGGAGTCTCTGCTGCTTGACTGGCAACCTCACTGTAATGTAAAGACTGCGGTTGCCAGGTTGCATCCCTGGATTTGCTGCTTGTCTTCATTAAACTGTATTGTTATTTTGCTGTGAGGGATGTTTGTTTGTGGTGTTTTCTGCCTTGGATAGTTCTTTGTGTACCTGTAATAAGCCTGCCTTTTACAGAACCATGTATCCTGCAAAATCATGCCAAACTTAATGAATCGTATCAGGATAAGTCACAGGTTACTGCAACTGATCTAAACATGAGTGTGAAGTCACAATTAATTAAGTTCTTAGTCTCATTTGTAAAATACCCTCGTGGCAGGTTCATTTTCAGCAGCACTGGGCTACAGTAAATATTTGAAGCACACACGGCACAGGCATTTTATTTTCTCTTGGGAACACAAGCACAATCTTGACATTTTTCATATTTTCTATCATGAACATGGGCACTATTTGTAAAGCAAAATGTAGCCTTACCATCGTATGGACGACACTTCTCTCTTTCCTGTGGGTTGCCAACATATCCAGGAGCACAACTAATGAAGGTAAAAACAGACACAGAAACAAGACTTAACCACAGAGTTAAGTCAATAACAATGTTTCATCCAGCTCAGGTTTTGATTAAAATTCTTGTCATGGCACTTGTGAACTAATGAAAATTGCAGTTTCGCCTATGGTGACACTAGGTTCAATTTATTAAAAGGAACTGCTTGGAATAATTTTAGTAATCACTTCAACCCACATCAAGAGAACACGTTGGGTTTTCTTACCGTTCACAGTACTGGCCAGTGTACCCAGGCTGACAGGCAGTACACTGGTAGCCTCCATTTCCAAGGCTCTCGCAGGTGGGGGAGAACCTTTTACAAGAGGGACACACACAGACAAGAAGGTAAATTCTGGTGCAGAGACGTGGTTTACTATCAACCGAACCTTACAAAATCTATATAATACAATTTCATGTGTTTCAGAAGTTTCCGAGACACAACTATAAATGTTTTGAGAGTATAGCAAAGGAATCCAAATATGACGCTTGATTAAAAAACTGTGGATTTGCACTGAAAGCAACTGCCTGGAACAGTCCCATTTTACTGAAAGATTTCTTCAATATACTGAAGCTTTTTAGTGAGGATACAAAATCAGATGATTTTAGTAGGAAACAGAATGTACAATATTTCATGTTGGCAGGATACAGATACAGAAATGAATAAAATTCCATGATTTACAAGACAGCAGAATTTGCTGTAAACAAGATCAAGTGAGCCAGACACAGAGTTGTCTTGAGCTATAAATGGAGGTGGAATGTGAATGTCTTGGTATCTGTGCCAGTACTCACTGGTTGTCTGGGTCAGTGTGAGGGCAGGCGCAGGGCTGGCAGTCCTCTGGAGTGCCAACAGTGGGGTCACCAAAGAAGCCAGGAGCACACTGCTCACAGAGCTCCCCTTGAGTGTTATGCAGGCAACTCTGAAAGGAGAAACGTATTGTGTTTAGAGCTCTGTCCATCTCATCAGGGTGCTATACAAGATCAATGTCAGTCTAGTGCTTCATACCGTGCAGATGCCAGTCTCAGGGTGGCAGGAGTCAGAGTGGCCATTGCATTCACAGAGCTCACAGTGGCCCAGGTATAAACCTCCTCCAGTGCGAGTATATCCAGGTGCACAGTCCTTAAAGAGACATTGTGATTTAGAAAATGATACATAGATTATAATGAAGCACAATGGGCCTGCAATGCTTCCAGTGAAGTCAACAATGACAAGAATTTTGCAAAATTCAAAATGAATAATTACCTGGCAAGAGAGCCCCTGGTATCCAGGTGGGCAGCGGCACTGCTCCACCTCGAGGGCCTGAGCCAAGCCACTGTAGTTAGGCACAGCAACTTCCATGTTGATATCAAAGATGCTGGAGGACCGCATCTCCGTGGAGTAAGATGCTCGAATCAGGATGTCGTCAAGGTCAGCCAAAACCATCATCAGGTGCTCTCTGGTGGCGGGCATATCATCAGGACGACGCCAGTTTTCCTGAGAAACCAAATGAAAGCTTTTTGTTGGATTAAGTGTATTTTGCAATACAAACATTAAGTTATCATTATTTTTTATTTATTCCTTCAGCAAAATCATTGTTTTGCTTGCCTTTCTCTAAGAAGGCCACTTCAAAAGACCAGATGCTTGTTGATACACTTTCTGTTCAGCCATGCTGTTACTCACCTCTCTGAAGACAACCTCAAACTGCTGAGTCTCTCTGCTGCCCTGCTGTCTCCTCTTCCAGGGCTGACGAGCTACCAGAGTGACGTCATTACCCTGCAAGAACAACACTGACAGATGAGTAAATGCTACAAATGCATGTAACCACGGGAGACAACAGTGATTCATGCATGAGGGCATACTCACAATAATCTGGATGTCACCATCGTCAAGTAGTGTTCCTCTTGGACCAGCCACATAGGAGATGGTGTATTTAAGCTTACCGCCGTAGGAACCCACCTAAAACATGGTTAGCAAGGAAGAGGCTTTAGATCTTTTGCCAGGTCAAACAGCGGTGCAATTCCCAGGATGAAACAGAAACATTAAACGTAGCAAACATCAATGCCAGATGGCTACTTAGAGCAACACAGTGTGTGCAGTTGCATCAAATCTGATGCATATGTGAGGGTGACCATGTTAACAGGATTTAGTTTATTTGTCATGGAGGGTACCACTCAGCCTGTGAAACAGTTGTATAATGTCTTCTGTGACTCAAAAGGAAGCTTTCTAAAGCCTAAAAAGCACACATTGAGTGGGGTTATCTGAGCTTGGGTTCAGGCTTGGACATAAAGCATGGGTTACAAACTGGGGGTGTGGGGTTTGAATGAAGTGGGCATTTAGAATGCAGGGGGGTTCTCATTCAAAATGCTATCCAGCTGAATTATGGGAATTGTAAGACACAAGGTTTTTGGAGCTTGATCCATGCTAGAGATAGTCCCCCAAATTCGTGCTAAATACTATTAAATAATACCACATAACTGGAGAAGCCCTTTAATGACACAGAATACAATAATAAGACTTCTGGTGTTTGTAATTTGAGCTTTTTTTGGATTAAACGTTACACCATAGACAGCCAAGCAGGTGAAACCCAAGAGTTGTAAGGACTATTTGTAGTTTCTATATCTAATTGTAACAGATGAAGTGTGTGGAACAAAAAAACTTGTCATGATAACATGGCACAAGCCTCTCTTACTACAGAAGAGGAATGTAGAAAGTCAATAGGACACTTGAAGGGAGGGCTTGGACAAAGTTAAGAGGGCACAGGGAGTGTGGGCATGGGAGGACCTGGATGGAAGGGAGGATAAGGATTGAAGGACAGTGGGGAGGATGGGGGATACTAAAGGTGCTGTTTTTTCTGTGAGCTCGAAGGGTTGACCAGAAGTCAGGAGGGGACATCACCCCAAAGTTTTCACAGTTACCTTATCCCCTGTGAACTGCGCTGGGAGCTGCCAGTAGAGCAGATCATCCTGGTGCAAGCTGAAACCTTTGTAGACCAGAGTGTACTGAGAGGCAGGGGAGGAAGGAGAGGCATAAGAAAATAAGCCACAGATGAAGAGAGAGGCAGCGAAACTAAATCATAAGCAAGCAGAGAAGCAGTACAAGCAGGCAAGCATGGCGAAGAGTAAAGCCCTACAGGAATCTCGGGACAAATGTGTGACATGCAGCTAAACTCTTTTAACTACATGTTCTCTCGTACTAGTGCTATTAAAGGCTCCGCTGACAGTTTGATAACAGCACAGAAGTTGCACAGTGCTTTGTCTGACAACTAAAACAACAACTTCCACTGTCAATAATGAAAAAATGACAGCTTAAGATGTGCCTCACTAAGAGGCTGTTTTAAACCACACAACAGTTTAATGACAGACTATTGTAAAACCAGTGTTTCTCTCAAAGTGGACAATTACAGTGACAGCACTGAGTGGGAGCTATTTGCCTAACAAAGGGAAATACCACCCAGTCAAGCATTGGAACTATGTGAATTATCCACTTGTTGGTAACTATAAACTAAATATATTCTGCATTATTTAGTAGATCATAATTTAAATCTGTCAGGTTCTGTTACGAGTTTCTGGACTACACATTAACTGCCCTGGACAAACTGAGAACAGTTGTTTGTTAATTAACTTTTAAAGCTAAAGTCAAAGACAGCACTAGAGTTTCCTAAAAGGACAAAAAATGCCAGTCAGTCATGCCACTGTCTACCTTGCTGCTTGCCCCAGAAGCACTAGAAGAAGTCTTGCTCAGTGTGTTCTTGCTCTGTTGATCCACAGCAGGGCCAGACCCCAAAGAGAAATACCAGAAGTCACAAATATGGCCAGGAAAAAACAAAAAGGCTCGTAAACCTCTTGAAATCTCTGACCGAATGTACCTGCAGATGAGGAGCGTAGCCTGGGGAAAAGGGTTGGGGTCTGGTTGGTCTAACTGAAGAGGAGATACCGGACGGAGGAGAAGGGGGGCTCAGGTTACGCAAACCAGACCAGTGAGAGGAGGAGGAAGAAGTTGGGACCCGAGAAGAACGAGAAGAAGAAGAGGACGAGAAAGAGGAGGAGGATTTGGAGGAGGAGGGAAAGAATGGAGGGGGACCAGCTTGTCCATTAGAGAAGTTAGAAAGGAGCGCCCAGACCTCATCATCCATCTGTCTGACACCACCCTGGGGAGCCGGAAAAGTGCGGTACCGCAGATACAAAGATACGTCACCACAGGAACAGTCAAAATGACGGAGGCAGGGTTTAGAATTTAGTTCTTTCACAATGTACATTGATGTACATCACTGTCAGAAGGTGAACATGCTGAATCATGCGTTTTAGTCTATGATAATTGGATGTGCTGTAAAACAAGGCTCTGGTGAATTGCTCTCACATCCAACAGTCTGATAAAACACCTAAATCAACCACGGTAGAAACTTTCCTGTGACTTTGCGTAACAACTCAGACCTCTTTGTGATTCACACACATGCAATCGCACACGCAGTCTGACAACATGCTCCGACCTTCATCAAACCGAGGTGATTCTCCATGCTGCTACATCTATGAACCGTGGGGATTTATTTCCATAGATGTCCACAAACTCTCAGTGTGTTAGCTTATAACGACAGTGTGCATGGATTATTCTCATTACGACGTGTGAGTCTTGCCTTCACTGCAACGTTCATACCAAATACCTGGCTAGCTCTTTTTGATCTGTGGGTGTCTTTACGTCCAGAGGCCATTAGGGTCCAAATGGAAGCATCCTTCCTTAGCTGCTCCTTTGGCAAATGCGAGTCACTCTATTGTTGTGGATAAAGCAAGCTCTTTGATCACTTTCCTTATCATAGAACTGATGGTATTATGGCTGTGTTATGGCTGTGTTATTCAAGCAAAGTTAAGCTGTATGAAGCTCTTAAATGGACCATTAATGATCAATCCATTTCCGAAGGTCATGTGATGCAGAGCAGAAAGCAATTTCTGTTTGCAATATGCACTACGATGGCCACTTTCAGCTGCAAACTGCATACACTGCTGTAAAATGCCATGCTTCTAATAAATAATTCAGTAAACATCAATCAACATCACACATAATGTGTATCCATAATATATGAATATGCGCCACATACAAATTACAATATATGGCATCCAGTATGTCACACAATGCAACATCAACAGTTATTTCAAACATGCCAAACAATACTGTACTCCAAACAAAACCTACAGTCACAACATTACAACTTGACTGACATTACTGTACCTGCTCTGCTCGTTTCACACGAGCAAAATAAGAATCTTTCTATAGAGAGTGGAGGAGTAAACACAAAAAATGGACAGCTATGTTATGTAAGTAAAAACTGGGGCCATTCAATCTGTGCACATTATTTTCCCCTGTGAACACAGACTCAAGAAGATGAAAAGAAAATGTAGCATTGGCAGCAAAGAAGTTGCACACAGACTGAAAAGGCAGTCTGAAAAGAAGTTTGCTTGAAAAGAAAGATTGGCTGAGGTTTGAAGTAAGACAAAGCAGCAAAATGGAGACAGCCACAGAATAAGAGTGGTCTACGGTTTCTGATGAGTGCTGCTCAGCCCCTTATATACATCATTAAGGGGTTCATGGTCTTGCTTGAGCTACTTCCACTGATTTAGCCGCTCTATGTGTTCTTTGATACTGACCTTGTCTCCCTGGTAAACCCCTGGAAGCTGCCAGTAATGAGGCTCCTGTCCCAGGTAGTCAAAGTTGCTGTAGGACAGCTGAGTGCCTTCGGTGGAAACCTCCACAGTGAAACCAGTGGAGATGCGGTTGGTGCGTTGACGGTTCACCAGAGCGAATCCTTGGAAGTTCCCTGGAGAAAAGACTGAGGACACCTGCAAGAGCACATTTGAAATGTCATCAAGCTCAAGTAGAAGATACAGTAAAACACTAATTTAACAATATGGCTCACAAGTGAATTAATCTCATGTAGCCCCCATGTTAAAATGCCCAACTTCAAAGCAGAAATAAACACGTTCACAGCCTGGTTCAAAAAACAGTTTGGTCTCTATAGCTAATTTCCTCATCCGTGACAGTACAAGGGGGCTTGTAAGGCTTAAAGTTATGCATAATTAAGGGCGTGACCACTTTGAGTACCAGGTGGGTTCTGTCACAGGTGGCTAGTTTCAGCAACCAGGCTTCATTTGGCCTGCCTCAGCTCCACCCACGCTTCATGTCTTTGCCAATTGGATTAGCCAGGAGCTGGGGGCACTGCCAAGATGGTGACAACCAGAGCTGACCACACTGAACCTCAAAACAGATTTTCAGAAACCTGTGGGTGATGTCACAGAGACTTCAAGTTCAAGAGTCAGAACCTGGAAGTGACTGTAGTGCTAGAAAGATGATGTAATAACTACTTCCAAAAGGTGTACTTGCATTTATTAGACTGACCTCTAACAATGTGCGGACTGTTATAATGATTGACTTATCATTTCTATGGTCTACAGCTTGGTGATGGCAATACCATAATGATGCTAGTGTTGCCAGACGTTTAGCAAGTGACTATCCACTAATGTAAAGAGTGTTATAATTCTCACTTCTCACTTCATTTCTTAATGCAGGCTGAAGCAACAGTGTTTTGCTTGCCAACACATTAAGCTGTTTTTTTTATTTGCATGTGTAAGGCTTACTCTAATTGTGACTTTTATATGGGCCGTTATTGACTTCATGTTCTTCACCCATATGTTTTGTGGAAGTTTTTGGAGAGACAAGGAGTCAGAAGTGACCCTGATATTCACTTAGCAGGAGAGAGTGGGTGCTCAGAAATAATTGCCTACATGGGGCGATATCTGCCAATCTCTGGCCAACCCCACTGATGGATGTGATTTTACTGGCTTAGAACCACTTAAGGCTGGTGTGATGAGGGCGGATTTAGACTTTTCTGAATTTATACCACACATCTTTTCTCTCTGAAGTAAATGTTTAACTCACTTGCTGATATAATCTTCACTACTGCATACTAGATGCTTTATCCAGTTTGGTTGTTCAGAGGTTTAAACAGTATGAGCCATTGCACTGTTGTTGTCATGTACTCCTTAAAGGCCTTACCAGGTCTCTGTAGTAGGTAGAGCTGGAGCACTGCTGAGTGACGCCCATACAGAAACAGGACAGGCAGCCATCCTTGTTTTCTGAGCTGAGATGGAAGGTTGCAGACTTACAGCTGGAGCAAGATGGGCCTTCAACGTTCATCTGCAACACAGTATTAAGGATGAGATACAAGGCAATCAATCCATTCTACTCTGCAAAATGCAAGTGTCTTTGTTTGATCACCTTGCAGCGGCACACACCACCATTGCAGCCTTCACTTCCTCTTTGGTCACAGTTATAGCAGTTACCTGTAATAGGACAAAAGAGAAGATTTATATTGCTAGCCGTTCTCTATTTAATGACACTGTTGAATCCAGATTAATGACATGAAGGGAATCTTTGTAACTTTTAATAACATAATAGTATGAAGATGGAACAATATCTGTCATGTTCCTGAATCAAACTAAAGTATGTACCATTGACTTCATTGCTGCCAACACTACATCTCTGTCCAAGCAGTGGGTTGCCAGTGTATCCTGCGGCACATCTGAAATAAAAATACACAATGTTTTTGAGTAAATATTTCCAGTCAAGGAGGATACAAGTTTTAACCCCAAACCACAATGAGGCAGGAAGCTGGGAAGTCTGCAAGAGGTGATACATTTGATAAATCGTGTCCTTCTGGGAGTCTTCTTGACCCAAGGCAGACATCAACCATGAACAAAGGACTGAGTCATCCAAACAAAGAACATACAAACTATTCTGTTATTCCATCTAGCAAGTTCTTGACCTAAAAATCAGTCACCAAGCTTTTGCACTGAATACAAACAGTTTTCCCAGAAAAAAAGATAATGAAATATTGCTTGCACGGAAGATGGAGGAAGCACAGCCGCTGCTAAAACACTCAACATGTCTCAAATGTTGATTCCATCTCTCACATGAGCGTAATACAGCTGAAACTAAGGAACACCTTTGCACAGGAACAGACATGTTAACATTAACAGAGAATCAGGAAAATATTACCATAAAATAGAAGCTTTACAAATACATAACTGTTATGAGGAAAGGCAGAAGTGAGTTGATATACTGAGATGCAGAAGAAGATGCTAAGTTGCTAAAGAGTAAAGTTATTTCTGATATTGTGATATAGCAAAGCAATATGCCTTCAGCCCAAGCAAACAACGCCACTGCCACCAGAGCAAAGGCTAATCCAACCACAGATCTGTGCAGGTTGCCCTAAGGACAGCTGCTGTCAGTCTTACCTCACCTGTCCTCTGGCAGGTCCGCAGGTCAACAGCCAACAAGAGGACTTCCATACTATGAACTTGCTTTGGAAAACCCTATTCAAACTAACTTCTGAGATGTACAGTATTTCTAAAGTGTAGTTAACTCAGTCATTCCAGCCAATGTTGTTTGGGAAATAGAAAATACATAAAAAAAATGACCATGTGAAAACGATAAAGATTTACTAACTAAAGGCTATTAAGAAAGGACATACAGCTCATGATAAACACAACATGAAAAACAATGTGGTTTCATATCACATTAAAATTAAACTAAACAATCTCACAAACAATTTGGACTTCTTTTCTAAAATCATATAGATCTTGGTTTGGGTCTGTGTATCCTAACATCTCTCTAAATGCTGATGAAATGACAGATCTTTGGTGATAGTCCAAATATGGCTAGTGGAAATACTGAGCAGTAATCATCCAATGCTTTGGTCTTACATTGCCATGTAATTGTCTATGGATATTCATGGTCCCCACAAGATAAATCCAGTTGTTTTCAGGTGCATCTGACCTTTCTTCTACTGCCACCATTGGACCCAAATATTAACAGCTACATAGGTAATATCAAAATTGAATGCACCATTTGCAGTAAAATTTCATGTTCCACTTTCCATGCACTTTCTGGTTGCATAACACTCATGTCAAATGATGTACATCTGAAATAGTATATTGGACTTGGATGAATTTTAATTAAATCTACTGTGGGCATGTTTTTTTAAGCCCTATTTCCTCTGGTGAACCCATGACCCTTTGTCTGCAGCCACCATCAGTCCATAATGTCAACTTTTCACAAAGATACCTCACAACCTAACTGGCAGAATGCCATGAAATTTGCTGAGCATTCATGCTCCTTAATCTATTAGAGTGTACAGCCATGTTAGCAGCTATCTGATGCTGTTGTTAGACACAGCTGCAATTTGTGCTAAATGCTAATTCTTATATAAAGCAGGTATAATTTTTACCATGTTTACAATATTAGTTTAGCGTGTTAGCTAATGGGACTGTCCAAGCCATAAATCAAAGTATTGAACAAATTAAAAAAAATTTTACTTGCTGGTGGTGCTTAAATAAGTTAGGGAATCACCAAGATCATTACAATTCTCCTCTGGGAACCATAAATGTCTGTAACAATTTTCATGGCAATCCATCAGTCTGAACCTAGATGGGGGACCTACAGATTGACACTGACATAACAAGATTTTTTCTCTTTCAAACTTTTCATATTGATGCATATAACTATTATTATTGCAACATGTAGCAGGGTTTTGGATTGTTAGTCTTGTTTATAATGTGCTGATTCTTCATCCATACAATTTAACATTTCAACTAATCTTCTTAAGACAATATAAAAATAAAACCCAAAATGTAGAACATGTTAGGGCTCTTTGAAAACATTCAGCACAAAAAGCATACACTGCAAATAACACATCACTTTCTCCTTAAAATCATGGAGATGTAATGTTTCAGGACACCAACACATATCATTGAAAATACTATTAGAAACATACCCATATGAATGCAAGAAGCAAGGATGAGCAAGAAACGTTTGGGGGTGATGCTTGTAAAACTTGAGGTAGTCTGGCCATAACATAATGGACAAAATGTATACACATAAGAGGTACCACTGCTAAGCTATCTCTTCATAGCAGGATTTTGTGCAATAGTTTCTAATTATAATAACATACACCTTAAAAGCCATTAGTATCAAAGTCATAGCACCACATCATGATGGCATTAACATTTGGAAAGCCCCTCTAAAATAACACAGTGTCATTAAATCAGTCCCTTCATAAACTTCCATTGACATGGTTGCAGTAGCAGATATAAATATCAGGATCAGAGACAAGACATAAACAAGGGAAAAAAATACAATAATGAAACAACACATAATTCCCTAGTCATCAGGGATAATTTTGATAGGAATGGCCAGCCTTCCCAAGACAACATGAAGAGAACCCTCTTGATTCTTTTTCTGCTTTGCAGTCTTGCGATTTCCATTTAACAGCTGCAGTAGTTCCAAAACACCAGAATGACGGTTTGTCTTCTTTTTCTGATGTTTTTTTTTGGTAACTTTCTTTACAGTGGTAGCCTTGGTTTTAGGGGGAGTTGATTTCCTTTTTACTGTTGTGTTAGACTTCTTCGCAGTAGAAGTCTTGGTAGGTTTTGTGGTTGTAACTGTTTTCTTCGTGGAATTCTTTGTTTTGTGAGACACTATCTTATATGTGTTCTGTTCAGTCTTTAACTCATTTTGGTTAGAGTTACCCTTGTGTGGCTTTGACGATTTCTTTGAATCACTTTCTGAAGACCTTACACCCTCCTGAACCTTTCGTGGAACTGGTGCATCTGATCTAAATGCCTTGTTGCGTCCATTGTTTTTGATGGGTAATGCAGAACCCTTTTTATTAGCCTGATCGGGCTTTGAAGGTTTTGATTTGTGAGACGGTGGCTCCAGTTGAAATTTTGTGATTGTTGCTTCTTTTTTAACTTGCTGTGGTTTTGTTTTGCTTGGCTGTGAAACATGTTTAGCTGTCACAGTGGCCTTTTTAACATCCGGCCTTTTTGTTCTAGGCTTTACTGTAGCTTGCGATTTAGATTTTGAAGTAGTCCTATATTTGCTCTGGGTGGTCTTCAACTTGATCGTTGACCTTGTTGAGACTTGACCTTTGGAGGACCTAGTGACTGATCGGAGCTTGTTTTTTACTGATGAAGTGGTGGCTGCTGATTTTAGTTTTTTCTCTGTCTGTGGAGCAGAAGTAGGTTTGTTCGCGGGGAGGCCTGGGGTAGGTATGCTTTTGGGCACTGTGGCTCTACTGGTGAATGGTGTTTTAGTAGGTATAATTCTGACTGGAGGCTGAGGTGTTGAGTACATTGGGAGTGCAAGGACTGTGGAGAGTGAAGGCAGAGCCCTCTTTTCTTGGGGCGAATGGGAAGTGTGTCTAGCACGTTTCATCTTGTTCATCTCCTGAGCCAGGGCAGTAAAGCCGTCAATCAGGATCTCCAGCCTTCCCTCCAGTCTGCTCAGACGGGCATCCATGTCTGTGTAGCTCTTCTCCAGCTCGCTAACCTTCTTGCTCTTCTCCCCAGCCAACTGGATAGCGATGAGTTCCTTCAGCTGAGAGCTAAAATGTCTCTGCTGGTCCTCCATACTGTGAATGCTCTCCTTCATATCAAGCGTGTTTCTTTCTAGCATGCTCAGGCGCTGGTTGAAGGTGTTCATGTGAATTCTGAGCAGGTGCTGGAAGCTGGAATGTCTGCTCTCTGGGCTGGGTGTAAAACGTGGTCGGTGTCTGGTTGCTGATCTGTTGGGGGCGATTGAAACAATACCCACCCCAGCTGCTGTAGTGGAACGGGTAGTGCGACGGTGAGCTGCAGTAGAAAGTAAAGTCCTAGTAGTAATGAGGATTGTTTCTGCAGTGGTAGGCCACTGGTAGTCAATGTCATCATCATCATCTCCACTGCCATACTGTACTATCTCTTTCTCCCAGCTGAAATTGAATACTGCTTCAGCTCCACATCCCACAGGTAGAAGGCCTTCTATCGGCTTCTCCAAGAAGGGATCCCCACAACTGTCTGCAGACGGCCTCTCTTCTCTTAAGGTCAAAACAGTAGAATCAGGCATGATGCAGGCAGAGACGTTCAAACAATGAACTATTTGTATATTTCGTCTTACACCCAAGTCACCTCGTCATCTTTGCCCTCGGAGCGGCAAAGATTGATTAGCCAGACAGGTGTCCTCATAAATGTTACATCTACATTTATGCTGTAGAGACCCAGAAAATACATTTGGTCTGTGCACAAACAGAGATCACACGAGCCAACACCTTTAAATTTCACTACCAGCGAAGCGCAAAGCTGAAGCAGAAAGCCACCTCTGAGAAGGCTTTTGGCGGTAAAGCAAAGGACAGAAGAAAGCAAAAGTATGATCTAAAGCCAACTAAACTTAACGTTTCCACAGGACATACAGCACATTTATGTCTCTTTGGCAAATTTATTTTCCAGGAACAATAAAATCTGGGTGATGACATTCTCAGTACCACCAAAGGCCCCTTATCCTATAACAAAGATACATTATTCTACCACAGCAGAAATTACCTCACATTTTGCAAATCAATAAATCCAAGAAAACAATATCTACCAACAGATCAGGAAAAACAGAAAACAGTCCTAAACTTGACAGGTACATCAGAATGGGTGGCACCAGTTTGCATCTCCCATCCCTCAACTGCCACCACTCTATCACAACTGCCGGGAAATACACAAGATAGATGCGAACCACAAACATGCTTATATCCCTTTTCTGTGAATGAAACCACTTGGTGCTACTGCCATCCCCTGCTAACTTTGCTGCCGGCCCGGCCAGTAACCCCAATCACTGAGCAGTGTCCAGAGGACCATGAGAGGAAGAAAGAAGAAAAGGAAACGCAGAAACAGAAGGAGGTGGGCTTACCTTTCGCAGCGTCGGCCAGTGTATCCAGGGGGACAGTTGTCACAGGTCGGCTGACCATCAGACTCCAGATAACAGGTCGGGGAGAATCTGTGGCAACAGAGGGTCATCAGGATGCTCATTTTGGCAGTACTCATATACAGTTTGATCTCTGGGCATTTAAATAGAGTGGTTTATAAGCTAGTGCACAGCACACAGTTTACTTTGCCTCGTCTAGCATTAAGCAACAACAATAGTATACAGTCTATACTTGACTTAATAAAACTGACACAAGTTGAAAAGACTTTAAGACATGAACTCACTGGTTGCTGGAAGCAGTTCCAGGACAGGGGCAGGGTTGGCAGGCCTGAGCACCTCCCGTTACAGGGTTTCCATAGAAACCAGGCTGACAGCGCTCACACCTTGGCCCGGCGGTGTTATGGAGACATTGCTTTTGGTCAGAACATACACAAATAAGGAAGGTGAGATCCATGGAACAGTTGAATATACAGTACTTGCAAGTGACAGTGTGTTTCCACATGTTGGGATTTGCCAAGAAACCATTAGTGCATTCCAATGCATGAGATCAAAGCAGGTTCAACGTTGTCAAAGAATTGAGAGAGAAGAAGAAGAGAATAAAACTTACCAGACACCTGCCAGTCTCCGAGTCACAACTGCTGGCGTGACCATTGCAATCGCACCTCTCACAAGTGCCAAGGTAAAGGCCAGAGCTGGTCCGAGTGTAACCCTCATCACACTCCTGTAACAACATGGAAAAACACCTCAGGTGAGAGACAAGTGATGACGAAGAGGAAGTGTCTTTGTTCCACTGCAGCAGGGAGCCCGACTGCAATTATAAAGACTGTAATGGAAAAGTCTACACTGTGTTATTCTTAACAAGATTAGGCATATCTGTGCCTTACACTCCTCTTTTTTAAACTAAAGCTAAATTAAATGTATCTAGAGCATGAAACTTTATTTTTGACCTTGGTAATAGTAGAGAGAAAAAAGATTCTTACCTCCAAGTACACTTTCTAACTTTTTTCTTAGCTTTTAACATAATCTCTTAGTCTTCATCAGCAAATAGAGTTTGCTCAAATGTCATGGAGATAGCTCAGTTGTGATCCTACCATACTGATAACAAATAAGCCATCGCCACGACAACTGTGCATGCTCCATCTGGTGATGGAGCTCCAAATACGCTATGTGGACCTTAAACTGAGTTTATTTTTTTTTAAATAAAACTACTTCTCCCAAATCTGCATGTGTACCTGGCAAGAGGGTCCTCTGTATCCCTGAGGGCAGGCGCACTCTTCCACCTCCAGAGCACGTTCATTACCAGTGGACTGGGGAACAGCAATGTCCATCTTGATGTCTGAGATACTATTCAACACAAAAAACAAACACAAATGAACAATATTCTTTATATTTACCATTAAGTGCAACCATCTTGGATTACTTTTAAGGTGTATGAATGAGCGGTACATTTTCACCATACCTGCTCTCAACCATGTTGTCTGCATAACTAGCCCTGATCATGAAGACAGTGACGTCAGCCAGAGCCATCAGCAGGTGCTCGCGAGTACACGGCTGCCCATCAGCACGACGCCATGCAGACTGTCAGCCAGAGGGATGGAGAATGGAGAAAACAGAAAAGTTAGTCAACTAACATTGTGTGAGGATTCAGATTTAGCTGAGCGATACTTTCCTATGAACAGTGAAACACACCTCTCTGAAGGTCACAGTGACAGTTTGTGGGACACGTGGGAGAGGCTTGGTTTGAGAGTAGTGTTCCAGGAAGATGCCATTGCCCTGGAGAACCACATCTGGCTGACCGTCAATCACCAGCGAGCGCTGAAACGGTTCAAAGCGTACTGTGTAGCGGAGCTCCCCGCCATAGGCCGTCACCTGGTAGGAACATGGTGAAAAGAGAAGCTCATCTCAACACAAGTGAATAGTGGAAAGGTATTTCACCCCTATGATACTGTGGGGGAAGTCACAAGACACCCATGTTGGGCTTGACTGTGAATTCAAGCCAGAGGTTCAAAGGAAGCTCGCTGTGTGGATAAGTGCAGCCTTTTCACTTGACAACATGTTAAGGCATGAGTGAGTGGGACAAAAAGGGCAGAGAAATCCATTTTGACAAACACTTCAGTTTTTTTCCCTCTCCTCTCCCCTTGCCTGCTCTGTACTTGTTGTTTCTCTCACCTTATCTCCTCTGAAGCTTTCAGGCAGGACCCAGTAGTAGATGTCTTTAGGGACACTGGAGAAGGAGCGGTAGACAACTTCAGAGGAGCCCCTCTGGGAGATGCCTTCAGAGATAGTTTTAGTGTTGGCTCCGTTGGAGAGGGAGAAGAGCTGCCCGTTCACCCCTCCTCGCACCTGGTAAACAGAAACAGTTGTCTGAATGAGATGAACTGAGATTTATGTGCTTGCACTTGAGCACAATCAATGTTTGCACATTGCTTTTCAGCATTTAGCATCTGAAAGGATTTGCTGATACAGCATGACTGCACAAACACTGAGTCAAACCTTGATACCAAAAATATTCTGCCCTCCCTTTACCATTAGTAGCTTGGCAACGTACCTGATCTCTGTTCCAAGTGGAACTGGCGCATTGTTTGGTGACACCCATACAGAAACAACGTAGACAGCCCTCAGGATTGGCCTCTGATAGGTGGAAGAACCCGGGCTTACACTCGTCACACAGAGTGCCTACCACGTTGTTCTGCACATACACACAGAAACAAACACATGCACATATGTAATCCATCTGCCTGTCAAGCACATGTCTTTCATCGAAGTAAAAACAAACAGTAAGACACGCCAGCCTCACAAACCACAAATGAACAACAGATTTCACAATAAATTATCATAATATAATCGTTTCATTTCAGTTAGCAATCTGCCATATTGCATGTATACCTTGCAGCTGCATGGCCTGCTGTTGGAGCTGATAACTCCTCTGTTATCACACTTGGAGTTTTCTGCAGGGAGAGAGCAGTAGAAAGAAGATGACATGTGGGGAGGAAAGTGCACCTGGGAGTGTTCCAGCCATTCTGCATACCTGAGCTATGATCACATACTACAGCCTACTGTGACACCAGGGGGAAAGCTATGGTAATCATTACACAGGGTTAAGACCTCCTCGTAGTCATATCACTGGATGACTGAAGAGTACAACAGATAAAACATTCCAGGTACAGTTTCTGTCGATTTCATGCCTTGAAATGAGAATTTCAAAAATGTTGTTAAAGGTATACTCACGGTTAGGAACACACTTTCCATTAGGCAGAAGGGGATTACCCTGGTAACCAGGGGCACACCTGAAATACAACAAAAATGTAAGAAATGTGTTTGACTTATTTACCACATGCAGGTGTTATAGCTCTGTTGATTCTGCTTGTTACAATAAATCTTCATTCATCAAAATTGACCTCTACAGACTTTTTTTCTGTGCACTCTGGAAGTAGGTTGTGCAGGAAATCCCTAGTCTACTATTTCTCATAAACCACATAACTGCCATCTCCAAACTATTTGAACTGTAACTCAAAGGCACAGTTAACAATATCAGTTTCCTCACTTTTCACAGCGTCTTCCTGTGTAGCCGGGCCTGCAGGCGTCGCATGTTGGTTGTTGGTCAACATCCAGGAAGCAGGTGTCAGAAAACCTACAAAGTCCATTGAAAAAGAAAAGCAGTGGTTAAATGAGTAGCACACTGAATGAATAAACCAGCACTCAAGTATCTGAATGAGCTCAGCTTTTTGAAATAAAAAACTGACCGAAAAATTCATTCATTCTTTCATCTCACTGATGCCTTGTGTGTGGTATGTGGGTGAGTACTGTATGTGTGTGTTGTGACGACCCTCTCCGCCCTGAGACAACCATTTGGTTTTGGTGTGATGGTTTAATAGTGTTGCTACACTTACAACATAGCACTCACACACTTCTACACTCATACACTCACTTACACCACTGCTCTCACTGATTTCACATACTACAGTTCAGTTTAAGTCTTAAATCTTTGCCTAAATAAATAATGTTGCTAATTGGCTTGGTTGTGTGCGGCCATTTTGTGACTGTGTGTGTGTGACTGATGGATCTGTGACCTTACCGCCGTGTGGTCTCATAGTATGGGCAGGGGCAAGGCTTGCAGTCATCGGGGCGACCTCTGCTCGGGTCACCAAAGTAGCCTGACCGACACTTGTCACACTGAGGGCCCTCTGTGTTGTGCTGGCAGCTCTGCGGCAGGGAGAACACACTGGTCATTCTCTTACATTCCACTCAAAATAGTTTAAGAGGAATAGTTGCAATACCTCTCGATGTCTGTACTCTAAATATGAAG